CTAAAAAGTAAAATTACTTTTTTAACACAATTAAAAAAATTTTTAAAAGCTTTCCAAAGAAAACTCGTAAAAAACAAAATAATTTATTGATGGGAACATAAAATCATTTTTAGCTGATTATCCTTTTTTACGATGTTCCTTTTCTACCTGGAAAGAGGCTAAGGACAAGCTGGATTAAAAGAACAAAATTTTTGGAAGAATAATAATAAAAAAAGTTTTTTTTGTTATAGTAAATACTGTGCTGCCCCTTGAAGAGTTTGTATAAAAATAAAATAAAAATAATAATTATTTAGATACAATTTCTGAAGGAAAAAAGGAACAAAAAACTAAAATTATTCTTTCGTCTAAATAAAAGAATAAAATATTTTTATTTAAAAATTTATGGATTTGTTTTTGAGGAAGGACGCGCGACAACGGTTCAAGTACCAAAAGAACAAAAATAATTTTAGTTTAAAAATAAATTTAAAAATATTTTTTATTTTAACATTAATTGGAGTATTCGTTAATATAATTTAAAAAAAAGAATATTTATTTATTTAAATTAAAATTAAGGAAAGTTGTCTGTTTGGAACTAAACCTAAGAAAGAATTGTTCAAATCTTCGGTTCGATTCCGATCTGAATATTCCCCAAGAACTGACAACTCTAAAATTAAGTTTACAAAAAAATATTTCTTTTTAAATTAATAATTGAATTATTTAAACCATTTTATACTAACTCTATATTTATCTTTAAAAAGCTATTTTAAGCCTTTTAAAAATAAACATTTTTGATATAAAAATATGAATAAACAAATTAGTCATATAACAAATATTTAACCACAAATCAAAACAGACATAAAAATATTTTTGATTAAAATTATACGTAAATACTTTTCATTCCTAAAAAATGTTTTTTTAATTTTTATTTTATGTTTTGTTATTCTTATTCATTTAATTGTTCTTTATTTTTTAAATAAAAATATTTTGTTTAAAATTTTTGGCAATTTTTCATATTTTTCTTTTTATATTTTTAATTTAAAAAAGCTTTAAATCTATTTTTGTGAAATTTCATTTTCTTTTTTTGATTTTAGTAATAGAAAAACAAAACATCTTTTAATTTCTCGTTTAACCAACAAAATTAGACTTAAAAATTAAAAGAAATTAAGACAAATTTTAACAGTCTGTCACTAAATATATTTTAAAATAATTATTTATTATAATAATAAAATTTAAATAAATAAAATGCGTCATTGTAATAAATAAACCAAAAATATTTTTATTTATTTAAATAAGAAAGAACTATTTTTATATTTTTTAAAAATCAGTTAATTCAATGTTTGCTAAATTTTTAAAAGAAAATTTGTTTGTCTGTTAATTAGTAAATATTTTGAAAAAAATTTTTTTAAGTGCAAATGTATGTATTTAGTTGTTAAATAGCAAAGAATTTATTTTAATTAAGTTAAAAATTATTTTTGAAAAAAAATAAATAAAATAATTTTTTGGATCTGACTTAAAATTTTAGTCAAAATAATTTTTGATAAGAATTTTGGAAAATCCCATTTTTTGAAGAAAAATTAAAATTATTTTTAAATAAAATATTTATTTATTTATTTTTCTGAACAGAAATGGCCCAATTTCTTCCATTTTTGTAGTAGAAAAATAAAAATATAAATAAATTTGTTTTTTAATGTCCTAATTTTATAAAAAATAAATGAGAACAAGTTTTGGAATTTTCTCTTTTACAAAAACAAAAATAAAAATGAAAAAGCTATTTAAAAAAGAAAGGGTAGAAGAAAAGATATTTTTGTTGCAAATAAAAGGAGGAATATATTTATTTATTTAGATTTGTTACACCTTTTAATTTATCAAATATGTAATTAGGGCTAAATTAATATGTTAATATTAAAGAACTATGTCCGTAACCGTTTTTAATTAATTAGTTTTTGAAATAAAATAATTATAATTAATTAAAATAATTATTGTGTTTAGATTAACAATAATTAGTAGTGAAAAATAAACTTTAAATTAGGAATAATACCCCCTCTTCTAATTAATTTTTGAAAAGTTTTAAAAGAAAAATCTAAAACAAATTTACATATAGATCAGCAAAATTAAACTTAACCTCGTTTACCTTGCAGAATTCCTCAAAAATTTCCATTATTTTTTGTGACTAACCAAAGAATTTATTAAATACAGCAAACATTACGGAAGTCTAACAAAATATTAATTTTTTTAAATTAATTTTAAAATTTAAAAGAATTTTTAAAAATAAATAGATACATATTTTTATCCACGCATTTTTTGAAATTAAATCTAATTTTAAAGAAAAGTTAATTTTAGACAAAAGAAAAGGTAAATTCTTTTTAAAAATTAACAATTAAAAAAATATTTTTTAAAATCCTCTTTTGTTTAAAATTTTTTTAATTTAAAAATAAACTTTTTATTTATAAAATCTAGAGTAGATCAAAGCGCGTAAAAATAAAATTGTAAATAAGAAGGAAGATACTATTAACTAAAGATCTTCTTTCGTTTTTTAAAAGAAACATTTGGACATTTTTAAATGAAAAGCTTGTTTTAGTTTTCACTCATTTTAAATATTCCCTTTCTCTCTCCTTTTCCTTTCTCTTTCGACCTAAATTAAAAAAGAAAAAAAGAAGGACAAGGCCAAATCTTCCACAAAAATTGTGAAGGAAAAAGTGTAGCAGATTCACATAAAATCCACACACATTCACAATTAACTAATAAAAGTGATCAAGCGAAAAAAAGAGAAAACAATTGTAACTAAAAAGAGAGAAGACATGTTTATTTGTGTGACCGATACGTGGGAATAAGCAAAATAATTAGGACAGAAAATTAGGAAGAATTAAAAGAAGTTTAGATTTGTGAAAAAAAAGTGAAAGTTTAATCTGTGCTAATGAAAGAAAATTCTTTAATTTTTTTTATGTCCCCACAAAAAAATTTTAAAAAGACAAAGAATATAGATATATTTAACAGTTAATTTATTCGTTTATATCAATTAATCTTGTAAAGCATATAGCTATTTAATTCCTAAGGCTGTGCAGTAGGCGGCGTGGTGTGATGAATAACATATCAGTCCGGTCTACTGAAGATGCTAGTTTGCTCTCAGCAGCCGAATAACTTTTTGCACTAGCTGAAGGAGAGAAATAGCTATAGTCCAGCTGCTTTACTATCTTTATTTGACATTCATCTACTATATCCCCCTAAATACAAAAGATTGGGGATGCTACCACAAAAAGAATGTCGTTTGACATATAAATTACCCCATTTTTCTAACAATAAAATAAGATAATGTCCTAGTCTACAAAAATTAAAAATTTTATTTTAAATATTGATGAAGGATATTTTGATGGAATAAAAAAGCCTTCAATATTTACGCTCAGATAAACAAAAGTAGTACAAAATAAATTAGCTAAATCCAATTTGCGCAAAAAAAGAAATATTTATAATTAAAGAAAAACTAAATCTTATCCTTGAAAAAGAAAATTAATTTGCCTTAAAAAATTAAAAAAATGTTAATTGAAGGGCATTATGCTAAATTAAAATTAATATTTCTTTGAACATAAAGAGTTCAATTTTTATTTAAATTATTAAAGTCAAAATAATTTAAATTGGTAAAAGAATTAAATATGTACATATTTATTTTAGGCAAATTTAATTAAAAAATAGTTGACTTTTTAAAGTTGAATCAACCTTTATATATTCAAAAAATTATTGTTTAATCAGTTCCTAACTTAAAGTAAAAACAGTTTAGTTCTGTACTTAAGATTTTCAAAGTCTATTATCATTCAGTTTGTGATTTAGTTAATGTTAGGTAAAGCTTGATCACCCTATTAATTCTTTGATTGTCCTAGCTTGTAAAATATAAATTTGATTGGACGCTTAAAGTTTGATTGTGTTAATTAACCTCATTTCTTATTTTTAATTAAAGAACCCCAAAAATTATTTTAATATATTTAAAGAAATTAATTAAATAAACAGATGGATATTTTTAAAAAATAAAAGAAACGTTATAAATTAATTAGTAAAAAAGAATTTTTTACTAAATTAGAAAAATGTATATATATATTGCAATAAATATTAAATTTATTATTTAGTAATGTTTTAAATACCCAAAACTTGTATACTAATTCAAATAAAAGAAAGTAACAAATAAAAAAAAACTAATAAAAATCAAAGTAAAAAATCTCTCAGAAAATAATATAATCAATTAATAATTATTGCGTAGTAATTTTAATATTTAATTACTTAAATTTCCCACATGTCATTTACATAATTATATTTAAAATTAAAAGAAATATAAATTAATTTAAATATTTTTAAAATTAAAATTAAAAAAAAAATTTAAAAATTGTTCTTTGAAAATTGAAAATTTTATAGTTAAAATGAATAAAATAAATATTTACTTGCACAATTAAATAGTCAAAGTAAAACACAAAAAAATGATAAAAAAAACTTCTGTACACAAATGCAAATAATTGATCTTTCAAGTGATTTAAATTATTTGTTTAAGCATTTTTAAAGGATAAACCAATTTAGTTAAATATCAACCCACACAAACACATACATATTTAAAATGAAATCATTTTTAAAATAAATATTTAGGTGATATGCAGACATAACCAAGATATTTAATTTTTATTCTTATTTTATGCTTAAATTCTCGTATTTTGTTTGTTCTTTTTAAATATTTTGTTCTTTTTAAATAAACACATTAGCAGACAAAATTTCAGAAATGTTTATTTTAAAAATTTAGTTCCTTAACTTCTTTAGACTACCAAAACTTTTTTAGACATGAGAAAACTTAAGTGGTCAAAAAATCGGATCAAAATTTGAGTTCTGCTCAAAATTTAATTTTTCCTAAATTTAGCAAAATTATATAAATTTATGTTCAAAGATTTATAGGTTAAAATATTTTTATTTTTTTACTCATACTTACATAAATAAACGGTCAAGAAAAAAAGTCATACAATAAACTACAAGTCCATAAAACCTAAAACTATTTAATCTTCCATCTTATCATCATCCTTTTCCTCAGAATCCAACTTTTCAATCATTTCTTTATTTTCTTTTAATAAAATTTCACCCAATTCATTCAAACGAATTTTCTGTTTCTAAAAAATATTTTTTAAACAAAAATAAATACAAAAAAAACAAACATGTTGCTGCTCAAAACGAGTACAAAGTTTAGTCATATTGTTCATAGTCACTGTCTGGAATTCCTCATAAATTTCATCAAGAGATTTTTTATATTGAATATACTATAAAATTTAAATAAAAAATTAAAAGAAATTAAAATTTAAATAAAAACTTTTTTGTGTTTGTCTGCCAATTCTTCTCCAATTGAATTTAATATTCCATTATATTTATTCACATCGGCAGAAGTACCTTGATGTTTTTGTTTTGCAATATCCAGGTTATGTTTTGCTGTACGAATTGGACGAGATTCATCATTAAGTTCTCGTTTAAAACGTTCATTTTCCAATTCTTGACCTTCCAAACACTAAATGATTTTTATTATTTTAGAAGATGCTCAAATTTACCCTATCAAGAGAAAACTTCAAACTATCCAATTCTTTAAGTAAATCATTCTTCCTTTTATTTGATTCCTCAATAGACCGAAGATAGGCATTCTTTCTCGCTTCAGCTTTTTCTTTCAGAATTTCAATTAATTGGGAAAATTTATTTTCCACAGATGCTTTTTTAAAATCATTAACAGATTCTAAAAATGAATATTCTTTCATTTGTTGCTGAAGTTCTTCCGAAATATTGAACGATTTGCACAAATCAAGAAGACGACCAACAAAAGATTTAAAATTTGCACAGACCTAACAAAAAATTAAAAAGAAATAAAAAAACAGTTTTTGTTAAACCTTGGAATTATGTTTATATAATTGTGGTTGAAGTTCACACAATTTTTTATCATCCACAGACAAACAATTATTCAATGTAGAAATTCCTTCTTGTAACTAAAAATTTTTAATTAAAATAAATTCAACTATTTATGTATATAATCTCTAAATAGATTCACAATAAAGCCTTTTCTTCCCGAAAAGAACAAAATTATTTTTAGCTAATCAAACCATTTGTCGTTTTGCAATCATCTCTCGAGCTTCCTCTCCACTAATCGCTTGATTTGCAATTTGTTCTTCTTTTGCCAACCGTTTTTCCTCCAATTTCTGATTCTTCTCGACAAGTTTTTCACAATTTTGTTCGCACGTGGCTATCATATTTGTGTTCAAAGCAATTACTTCACATAATTCTTCCAAATATTTTTCCATAGTTTTAATGTCATCAACATTGACCGCAATATTCCTTTTAAATTCCAAGATTCCTTCTTCTTCCTTTAAAATAATTTTTTTAAAAAGGGAATTAAAACGTAAAGATTAGAATAATTAATAGGTGGCCCAAAAACCTAAGCGAACCTTTACCAATTAAAAAATAATACTTTAGCAATAAGCATCCGAATTCTCTCCAATTCTTCACCAAAAGCAATACGCCTACTTCGGAGCTCGTCAAAAGACTCATCACCATCAATTCCAAGTTTTGAATTCCGATAAGTTTCAAATTCCGCCGCAAAAATATCATGGTCAAACTTAACAGAAGGTGCAGAGGCTGCCCTCATCTCCAATTTTTTCTTATAACACGAGACGTACAATTGCCATTTTTCTTGATCACCAACACGCATATCATCATGAAGTGTTTGTTCGAGCTAAAATTAATTGAGATAATAACTGATTGTGAGCAATAAAAAATATTTAAATTTACCTCAACAAAATTCACTAGCCACTCCAAAACAGCTAACATTGTAGGCCACATTGAAGGAGTCGTCATTGTCTGCATTGTACTGTTTTTCAGATTGTAAGGATAACCGAGTCCGTTCAATAATTTGACAACCTACAAATTTAAATTCTTGAAGAAATTAAAAATTAAAATAAAACCTCTTCATTAAATTTTGGGTTTGGAATGCTTGCGAAATTTGGCTGGAAACAACGGAAAAGAAACTCGAAGACCTCTTTAAAATTATTCCTGTTCGGTACGCGTAAAAAGTCACGGTCATCAAATTTAAATGATGGAGAAGGTTGGATACAATCTTCAAGAAAAGAAACAATTTTTCTGATCATGTCATATTGAACCTCCTAAAATTAAATTTATATACTTTATTAAAAAATAAAAATCTAAACCTTATCACGCAAATTTCGAGAGTCTGGTATTTTGCTAGCTCTCGGGATATTAATGAGCCGTCTTGCTCCGGTACCAGGGAAAGCACTTGGTCTAAAATTAGATGGAGCTCCTGAAGCTATGCTGTATCGAGCATCGGGAGCCAAACTGATCCGCCCACCTCCTATAGTGCTAAGCCGATTTCCATCAATACTGAAAAGAAAATTAATTATCATAAAAATAGTTAAATTACTATAAAGCTAAATAAAATAAATTTACCGAGAATGGTTGAAAGCTGGCCTTGAGCCTGTTTGCGGTGTTCTTTGCAAGTGCATGAAATACAATAAATTGCTTTAATAAAAATAATCTAAAATACATAATAATAAATAATTAAATAGTTTTACAACGGATTTAATTTTAAGTTCAATTTAATATAAAAAACTGGAATAGGCAATGAGTATTTATAGGGGTAAAAACAGGCGGGAATTAAGTATACGAGTTGATAAAGGAATGGCAAATGTTATGAGGGAATTATTTGAATGTAGGTTATTTAGAAACAAAGAAAGGCAAAGAAATATTTGAATATGATAAAGGAAAGGTTTAAGGAAAAGAGATTATTTTACAATCATAAGGTGGAAAATATTTGATTTATATGTTGGGGGAATAAGTTTAAAGTAAAAAGGTCAAAAACATTTAAAATAATATCGATAACAAAATATATTTAAATAAATGCTTCAAGCATATATGAACATCAGAAATCTAATCCGGCATGAGTGTTAAATACAAAATCCGGTTTCCGGGCCCAGAAAAATGATTTTTCCAGTCACTACTAATGAGACAAAATCATAAAATAAAAAAATAAAGCGGCATTTTATTTAAAAATAAATTTAAACTTTAATTTTTATTCTTCAGAATTTCGTTTCAAAACTTTATATTCGGACATTTCAGGGTACAGCCCAAAACAACGCGGGCCAAAACTACGCGACCGAAACTACGCGACCGAAACTACGCAAGCCAAAACTACGCAAGCCCAAAACTACGCACGCCCATAACTACGCAAAACTATTTAGTACATTCAATTTGAATTCTGCTGTTGATCAATTAATCACTTTCTGATGATCAACCTTTATCAGTTGATCACTCTCTGATGATTCTTTCTTTGGAATCCGGAAAATTGTTTCCTGAAAATCCGGAAAATTAAGGAAAATCTGTACTATTCCGTAACCATTTTCCTGAAAATAATTTCCGTAATTCGGAAAATATGTATTTTTCCGGAAAATACATATTTTTCGGAAAATAATATTTTCCAGAACTCGGAAAAATTCAAACGGAGCCGGTCCGGCACGAGCATGGAATTCAAAATCCGGTTTTCGGATCAAGAAACTGATTTTGCCGGACATTACTAAATAGTTAGTTTTGCGTAGTTATGGGCGTGCGTAGTTTTGGCTTGCGTAGTTTCGGTCGCGTAGTTTTGGTCGCGTAGTTTTGGCCCGCGTTGTTTTGGGCGTGTCCCGACATTTCAGTATAAATGACTCAGAATTTAATAGAAAACTGAAATTTCTAGTTGTTGTGCTTATTTAATAAGTTTTGAATTTTTGCTGATTTCAATAAAATATTTAAAAATGATTAAAGCTATTCTAATTTTTAATAATCATGGAAAGCCAAGATTGCTTAAATTCTACACGAGATATGTTTGTTTATTTATTTTTTTAAATTTAAATAATAAATTTTAGACAGAAGATGAACAACAACAAATTGTTAGAGAAACATTCCAACAAGTTTCAAAAAGAGATGACAATGTTTGCAATTTTTTGGAGGGAGGAACTTTAATTGGTGGATCTGATTTTAAATTAATTTACAGGTTTTTTTTATTTTTTTATTTTTAAATAAATATTTTTCTAAGTTCGTTTTAATTATTCTGCGTACTAAATCAAATTAAATTTAACTAAATTTTATTTAACCGAACTCGAGTTTATTCTATATAAAATTTTCTTTTCTATTAAGATTAAAGACCAATATAGTTATCAAAAAATCGTATGGGTACGTCCAAGTAGGCGCGCAGCCAAGTAGGCGCAAAGCCATAACTTGCTTCAAAATTTCTGAATCTTTTAAAATTTAGTATTAAACGTTTCACTCATCGAGCTAAAGAGAAAAAAACTAAAATCGTTAAAAATAACTAAAATTAAAACCGAAATTGTTAAAGTCTAGAAATTTTCCAGCTAGTTATGGCTCTGCGCCTACTTGGGCGTCCCAATCATATCTAGGAGAACCCCTTTAACGAAAGTGATTTACAAACAATTTTTATTATAATATTACAAAAATCATATTTGTTAACAAGTTAAAATTTTCAAAATTCAAATTATATTTTTTTTAATTTTATTTGATTAATTTTTTAATTTAAAAATTTTAAGGCATTATGCAACTCTTTACTTTGTTTTTTGTGTTGACAGCTCTGAAAGTGAATTAGGAATTCTTGATTTGATTCAAGTTTTTGTTGAAACATTAGATAGATGTTTTGAAAATGTTTGTGAATTGGATATGATATTTCATGTTAATAAAGTAAAGAAAATTTTTTTTTAATTAAAAAATAAATATACTTTTTTAAAGGTTCACAATATTTTAAATGAAATTGTAATGGGTGGAATGGTTTTGGAGACAAATATGAATGAAATATTACTTAGAGTACAGGAACAGGATAAAATTGAGAAACAAGAGGTTTGTGATAAATTAAATTTTGAATTGGGTAATTTTTTAAATGAATTATTTCTGATATTTTTGATTAAAAATTGCCTTTTATTTTAGAAATTTTTAAAAAATATTTATTCTTGTAAACTAATATAAAGTAATAAAAAAATATCGGAATAATTTCCGAACTATATTTGACTAATTCGGATTGGTTTAATTATTGAGATGGGCTAGACTTTGGAAACCAAATTAAAACAATTTTTTTTTTAATATTTTAAAAACTTCAGAAAAATATTTTTTCTAAAAATTCTTTATTTTCTAAAAAAATTTTCAGGCCGGAATTACTGCAGCACCAGCAAGGGCTGTCTCTGCTGTCAAAAATATGAACATTCCACAACAAATTAAAGATTTAAAATTGCCTGATTTACCATCAAAGATTGCCGCTTTTAAAAACCCTTTCTAAATTTTTTTTAAAATTTTTTACTATATAAAATGAATTTTGCTTTATTTTTATTTAAAAATATTTTGGCATTACACGCAATATTTCGGGATAACAACATTAACTCTTTTTGAGGAAAAAATGACCTCCTTGCGTACAAAGTCAATATTTTTGTATTTTAATAATTTTAATTAACAAAATAAATATTTTATTTTTCTTTATTTTAACTGATTAAATGTAGAAAAATAATTTGGTTCCCTTTTACTTGTTCCTTTTTACCGATTTTCAGCCTTGGAATGGCGACCTACCCGCCATAACCGTTATTCATGAAAAAATTCATTTGCTCGTAATTCTGTTCAAAAGGCATCAAATCAAGCTGATTTTGGTATTATTCGACTCAGCTCGCTGTGCTCTTTCTGTTGACATATAAATTGTCTAGATCTAAAATCCCTCAGTATAAGTAAATAAGCTCAAATAATTTTTGTTTTGATTAAAAATTAAATATTAATAAAAGTTTAAAGTCTAATGTTCTTATTTTATTCGCTTTCCTCACTCGAACAGCTGAAGCTTGACCTTGTCTAATTTGCCTTTACACATTTTTTTCCTTTTATCATTTTCCAAAGATTCATGATTCCCAGTTTTGTTTTTTTCATCTTTCCGCTCTCATTATTCCCTATAAATACCTACACTATTTCTACATTTTCAGCTTTCTTCAGTCTCATTTTTTATTCTGATTGAATTGCCGCCATTCTATTTGCAATACCTTAAAAATTGACATTCAATTGAAGAGGACATTCAAATAGAGGAGATCATTTTCTTTTTAATAGGTTAGAAATTGAGATTGGGATTATTAACATTAAGATGGTCCCCCTAATTATTCTAATCCACGACATCACCAAATCCTTTTAGTCTCTCGATATCCCTCTCAAATCCCCTGATATCCCTCTTAATTGCCCTTTTCTGACTAACTTGCTGGAAAATATCAGAATTATCAGTTTTAAAAGAATTATTAAACTTGGCAATAAATCTAATGAAGAAAGTTTTCTATGTATTTAAAAAGGGCCGGCTATTCAATTAGAGAGGGCCATTTAATTAGAATAAATACATTATATTAAAATGTCCTCAATATACATTTTTGAAAGTTTATAGCCATTTTATAAGAATCGAGTACACATTCAAGAATAATATAGTAAATAATAATCTCAACTCAACACATCAATCTCCCTTGAAGATTATTATCATTTTATATTTATGCAAATATTTTCCCAACATTCCCCATTATTTATTTTATCTTTATCTACATTTGTAGTATAACAAATAAATAAATATTTTTGACCTTCCCGCCTATATCTAAATAATATTTTTCACAGTCCACCTAAGAATATATATATCAGTATTTATTATAAATAAAATTATAAATCTGTACATATTAATCTAAAATTTTATTGTGAGGATTATGAGGAAATTTTTTAAATAAATTTTTTAAATTTTTTTTTCAATATGAGTTATTATTAGACTAGAAATTATGTACGTCTATCCAGTAATTATTTGCATATAAAATTTACGAATTTGCAAAAATAAAATAAAAAAAATATTAAACAAATAAATTAAAAAAAATTAAAATAAATTTCCTTTTTTTTTTATTTTTATTCCAGACTTGGGTTTTAAAAAAATATTTAATATTATTTAAATTAATTAAATTTAAACTTGGATTAATTATAAAATAAAAATGTTAAGTAATTTATTTTTAATTTCTTTTACAATTTTTGTTTTAAATAATAATTTTGTTTTATCTGTTGATGAAAAGATAGAAAAAACAGAATTTAAACGTTTAGAATTACCTGAAGAAAAATTAACTACAGTAAGTAAATATTTAATTAAAAAAATATTTTTAATTAATTTAAAAATAGCCAGAAATAATTAAATATTATGGATATAAATGTGAAATACATAAAGTTACAACAAAAGATGGATATATTTTGGAAATGCACAGAATTCCTTTTGGGCGTAATTTGAATGAAAATGAAGAGAATTCAAAGCAGAAAAAGCCTGTAGTTTATCTTCAACATGGATTGTTAGCATCTAGTTTTGATTGGGTAAATTTGAAGATTTTTATTTAGATATTATGTTAATATAATAGTAAAGGGTTTAAATAATATTTTGAACGAAAAAATATTTTTTGGTTCCCATATTCGTTCATAAATAATTTTCCACAATTTTTCAAAATTTTTAACAATTTCTCAAATTTAAAGGTAGCAAATTTGCCCAATCAATCATTGGGATTTATTTTAGCAGATGCTGGATATGATGTTTGGATGGGAAATGTTAGAGGGAATGTCTACTCATCAAAACACGAAAAAAGCTTTTTAGGAAAAGATGAATACTGGAAATTTACGTAAATTTGTTTAAATAATTTATTTTTAATTACAAAAAATAGTTGGGATGAAATGGCATCAATTGATTTGCCTGCAATGGTAGACAAGGCTTTAGAAATTAGTGGACAGCCTAAATTATTTTATGTTGGCCACAGTCAGGGGACTTTAATTATGTTTGCACAACTGGCTAATGACAATAAAGAATTTAAAAATAAAGTAGAATTTTGAAAATAATTAAAAAAAAATAAAATAATTTTCCAACAGATTATCAAATATTTTGCTTTAGCCCCCGTCGCTACTATTAAACACATGAAAGGCCTAATTTCTGTATCAGGCAATTTATTTGGAAAAAGTTTTGATCTTCTTAACAAGCATTTTGGTTCTCATGAATTTATGCCAAGTAATTGGGCATCCCAATTATTTGCCCAAATACTTTGTAGTCCAATTATGAGTAAATCAATTTGTGATAATATTATGTTTTTAATTGGTGGGACTGACAATTCTCAATTAAATGAAGTAAAAAATAAATTGTTAACTATTGAACTTAAAATCAAAAGTTAAAATCAAGACCCGAAAAACCCCGACCTTTCGGCTAATAACCAGCAACTTTTATGAAAAAACTACATATAAAAATAATTTCTCACTATGAAAAATTGAAAGTAAATTTTAAAAGGAACAATTAAGTAAATAAATCGTTAAATTCATCAAATTTAAATTTATCAAATAAATTTATCTAATTAACATAGGTATATAAATATTCCTTTTAAAGACTCGTATTGTTGTTTATACAAAACATGAACCTGCAGGGACTTCAACAAGAAATATTGCTCATTGGGTAAAATAAAAATTCAAAATTAAAATATACACTTTTAAAAATAGACACAAATGCAACAAACGGGGCTTGTCCAGAAATTTGATTATGGAACGGAAAAGGAAAATAAATTAATTTATGGACAAGTATTTGTAAATTAATTTAAAAATATTTTTCTTTTTTAGAACAAACCTCCAATTTATAATTTAACAAATATAAATTCAGTACCTATTTATTTATATTATAGTGATTCTGATTGGTTAGCAACAAATAAAGATGTTGAGGTAAAAAATAAATTTAGACAATAATTATTTTTATTTTTTTTAAAGGAAACAATAATTAAACAAATTCCAAAAGAAAATATTAAAGCAAAGAAATTACCCAATTTTAATCATTTTGATTTTATTTGGGGTATGAATGCACCAGAGAAAATTTATAAAGAAATGATTGAAGAAATTAAAGGAAATTGAATTAAAAATTAATAATTGAATTTTAATTGTTTTTAATTAATTAATTAATAATTATTTTTTAAATTGGATTTTTTCAAAATTAATTAATAAAAATAATTTTCAAAATTTAATTTTTAATTTTTGCCCCCATTTCCTTTTAATATTAAAAAAATTAATTTCCGATCGTTCTCTTAAACGGTAAATCTCCTCCTCTATTTCCATCTTCTCGCGCAACCATAAAAATGTCTCATCACAATTTCTTCGTTCAACGTCTTCAATTAATTAAATAAATAAATATATTTGTTCAATATACATACATATATTATCAAAATATTTATTTATTTATTAATCGTGTTCCTTTTGGCTTTTAAAAATTTTTTTATTAAAGAGAAAAATTTTCTTTTAATTTTTAAAAGACAACATTTTTCAAAAATATTATTTAATAAAAATTAAATTGAATTTGGGAAATACTTAAAATGCGTTTTGTACATTATAGTGCCAAAATGTTTATTTTATAAAGAAAATTTAAAAAATTTTTCACGCAGTTTTGCTTATCGGCATTTTACTCATCAAAGCTAACTACAAAAATTTTCAAACGAAATGGAGACTTTTCCTTTAATTATTTCGAAAAAACGTGATATCTTGTAACGTAGTGTTCGTACATATTAAAAAATTAAAAGAATTTATGGGTGTCACCCCTATTTAAAAAAAAAATGTCTCATCATCTTTTGTTTAAAGTTTAATTAAAAAAAGTGTTTAAATTTCATAAGAAAATAAATTTGGCGAACTAAACAACGTATTTATTTTTATTTATCTTTTTATTTATTTTGATCAAAACTATTTATTTAATCAATTTTATTAAATATTTTTTATGATTAATTTAAAAATTATAAGTAATTATTTAAAAAAATCTAAAACTTAAAATTTCAGTTAATTAATTTAAAAGAAGAAATTCAACAAATCCTTTAATGGAAGCAGCAATTTATTATTTATTTAATTATATCTTTTCCTATAAAAATTTTTTATTTCTTTTGAAAATTTTAATTGTAAGAATATCTTTTTTAAAAAATTAAATTAAAAAAAACAAAATTATATAAAAATATATTTTCAATCAAAAATTATTTTAACTATTTTCCTTTTCCCTTCCAGATTTCAGTTATTCTCCCCTCCCACACATTTTCATGTCCAACTTGTCCACCCTTCGATTGGTCCCCTCCATTAGAAGGACGTTCACGTGGAGAAGGAATTATTGGGACAGATGGAAGTAATAGAATTGGAAGAAATATGGGAATGAAAATGAGTGGAAGTAGTATGCAAATGAATGCAAATACTTGGTCTACAGAATGGACAATGCAACCATGGAGTTGGAGTGTTGGACCTGAAGTGTGTGGAAAAAATAATTATTTTAAATTCGAATTTAAAATTAAAATTATTTTTATTAAATTGTAAAGGTAACTTCACCTATATTTACATCAACATTACCTCCAATAATCAAATCTGGACAACAACATGTAGAAGGAGGTAGAAGACCAAATATTGGTAAAAAATATTTTTTAGGTTTTTAATTAATTAATTTAGACAGAATAAAAGAAATATTTTGTGCTCGTCATCCAAATAATCCTAAATGTCAAGGAGTATGTTACATAATTAATTAATTAAATATTTATTAAAATATTCTTTAAACTTAAATTAATTTAAAATAATTTTTTAAGAGGCCAGAATCTCCTATTCAAAATTTAATCCCCCAAACAACACCTACTCAACCTCAAATTCCAATTGAAGAACCAAAAACAAAACCAATGCCTTTTGGCTATTTGGATGCTGAAGCTCGTGATGCAATTATTGTATTAAATTTAATCTATTTAAAAATTCCTCTTTTAAAAGAAAAATTGTAAAAGTGGAATTATTGACTGTAAATCCCAACCATTTGGAATGGAACAAAAGAGAAATATGGTTATTCAACATGAAATGGATTTTGCTAGAAAACAATATTCTTCTTCTTCCTCTTATTTATCCCCTGGATTAATATCAAAAAGAATTGATTTAATACAGGAATTAAAATTAAAAATGATTAAAGTTGCTGGACTTGGAGAATATGTATTTAATTTTAAATAAATCAATTTAAAAATTTTCTAATTTTTTCCGGAGTGTATTTACAAATTCCTCCAAAATTAAAAAAAGATTAACTTAATATGTAAGAAAATAAAAAATATTAATTTAAAAAATATTAGGTTAGAGAGCACAGAGTAGGTTACTCTTCTCATGTCAATACATTTGACTTTTAGGTATAAGTTGGTTGTGTCTATTTGAGTAATGATTATGTTAATCTACTAATTATCTAATCAAAAACCTCTCAAATTTCCAAGTTAAGTAAAGGGGGGTTTAGTAAAAAATTTCATTAATATTCTAATTTATATTTAAATTAAATTTACAAATATTTAAAAAGAATTATTTTCCTTATAAAAAGGTAACTCCAGTAAATGATGGAACATTTGAACATGACGTTTTATTAACAGAAAGTCAAGCACAAAATTTAATAAATGCTTTAGATCAAACTCCATATCCTTCAAATAAAAAATATGGGTATGGACATGGAAGGAGTCAACGTTCTTCGTTATTTCTTGATCAATTACAAACACAAAGATGGCCTATTGGGGAATCTATTAAATATTTTATTGATGCAAATATCGGTAGGAAATATACAATAAATTTTTTTAATAGCCCCCTAAGGCTTTGGGGTTAAATCATCCTTTAGAGGGAAGCTTTACTTCAATTGGGGTGCCTTATTTAAAAATCTATTTTGCAAATTAATATTTTTAAAAATTTATCTTTTTACAGAACAGAACGAGCGAGATATGTGTAAGAAAAACTTTTTTTAAATTTAATAATTATTACTTTAAAAAATATTTGTTTTTCTTAATTTAATTTGATAATATTTAAAGTACATCAAGCACATCAACTTATTCAGGTTTTAAAAAAATATAAAGAATATACATAATTAAAAATAAAAATATTTTTTTTTCAAATAAATAAAATATTCTAAACAGGTTTTTAGGCTTCGACTTGTATTCGATTTGAACAAGTTAATGAAAAACCTCAAACCGATTATTTACATTATGTTAAAGTATCAACACCGACATTGTAATAATTAAATAAATAATTTTAAAAATTTTTTTGTTAAAGTTGTGGACTTTCTTATATTGGACGTGTAACACCTGCAAATCCAATATATTTGTCTTTTCAATGTCAAGATGTTTGGATTTTAATATTTAAATAAATTAAATTTATTAACATCACTAATTCTCTCATAATTTAAAAATTATTTCGAACATTTTTTGATTTAAAAAATTCTCCCTGAGGGGGGCTGTCAAAAGTTTTTATTTTAGTAAATACCTAGTACATTACAGTTTTATTTAAATATTTTTTAATAAAAATATTTTTAATTAATAGCCAATTGGTGTAGCTGCTCACGAAACAATGCATGCATTAGGTGCTAATCACGAACATTTAAGAAGGTTTTTAAATAAAAAAATTATAGAAATTATTTTAAAATCTTTAAAGTGATCGTGATGAATATATAAATATTCAATGGGAAAATATAAATCCCCAATTTTATGATTTTTTTGCAATTGCAGATCCAAGCAAATTTACTCCGTTAGTTTTTTAAAAAATATTTTTAAATAAAAATTATTTTTTAAAAAAAGTTTTGGTGTAATTTACTCTTTTGATTCAATAATGCATTACGGGGCATCTACAGCTTCTTTAAATCAAAAACCAACAATGGTACCCAAAATTGATCCACAAATAAATACTCCAAAAATGGGGCAAAGACAAAGACTCTCTGTACAAGATATTGAATTGTTGAATAAAATGTATTGCAAACAATCAGGTAATTTGAAGAATTGAACGTCTATTTATAACAGGGAAAAAGTGTAGTAATATTTTTAAAAAATATTCTAAGAAAAAATAATTAAATGAACGAGAGTATGAAGGGATACTAATAGATTAATGTTGTTGGTCCGGCCGGACAAATTCACCGCTCATTTTTTAAGAGCGATTAAGCTTAAGAGCGATTAAGCTCCGCCGATCAGGCATAAATATAATAATAATATTGTTCACTTGACTAACTGACTAATAGACTGGTCGTTTCTTTCACTTATTTTTTGGATTATATTGTGTATGGATAGGGGGGGGGGGTCGCTGGAAAAGTTTTATTTGTATTTCACAATTCTATTCCCGCCTTAAATTACATATGTTTTAAATGAAGGAAAACTTTTATTTTCTTCAAAGATTGTTTTGACACATCAGTTTATTGTGGAGTTTGGGCTCTTAGAGGATTTTGCTCAGTTTATCCACAATATGGTTGGATGCAACAAAATTGTTTAAAATCTTGCAATAATTGTTAAAAATTGTTTTATTTTTTAAATAAATTTTTTAAATTTAATTTTTTAATTTTAATTAAATTCTCTCAATTAAATACAAACAAATAATTTAAAATTATTTTTTATTTAATTTCTCTTCCATTTTTATTAATAACAGGTAAAGGTGGTGGAGGCGTTAAATCTGAACGTCTAGGTTTCCAACCACTTAAATGTTGACATTTATCATATATTGTAATATCCTCTTCTTCATTTTCTTCTTCTATTTTTGAATTTCCAAAACGATTTATTCTTTTTGGTATTTTCCTTGTAATAATTTTGCCAGAACAAGAAAATTCTTTAAAATTGAAAAAAAATTATAAAAAATTTTTTTTAAGAAATGTAAGGTATAAGAATAATAATTTTTTAAATCTTAAGCCAAATAATAGTTAAATTATAATTATTTTAAAAAATAATATTACTTTTATTTATCTGTACTTCTCTTTCAATTAAATTTTGCTTAATTTTTCTTTTTAAATAAATGAAAAATATTAATTCTGTTAATTTTTCTAAGAAAATTAAAAAGAAAATTAATAAATTATTTATTTGAAAGTTTGAATTTGTTGTGTTAATTTGACATAATGATTGAAGGGGGAAATTTAAATAATAATTATTTTGACATTCTAAATAAATAAATTTTATTTAAATAATTTAAAAAATAACCTCTTAAAATTATTTTTAAATAATTATTTTGTGTTATAATATTTGAATATCTTCTACATAATAATTGTGTAAAATATAAAAGAAAAATAATTAATGAAATAAACATTAAAGGTATCTGGTAAATTCAAAATCAATTAAATATTTTAATTAAAAAAACTTTTAAAAGAATTGTTGGCCAAAACAAAATTGGACAATTCCAAATAATTCCAATAAAAGTACAGACAATTCCAATTAAATAAGTTAAAGTAAATGGCCATAATTGTAAAAGAATATTTAAAAAATTAGGTAAATAAATACAAAGAATAATTGTGTAGATTAAATTAAATAAAAGTAGAGAAATACCTATAGACTTTAAATAAATCGGTAATTAATTAAAAATTTTTAATTTGTGAAATTAAAAATATAATTTGCTAATTTAAATTTATTTATTTTTAAGTTATTAAATTAACAACTAACTGAATTCTAAAATTAATTTCGACATTTTTTTGAAAAAAATTTTAAAATAAAAATTTGGATTTATTAAATTGTTTTTAATATTTAATTTATTTTAAATTTTAAAATTAGTTTCTAAAAAAATTGAAAAAAATAAAACCTTATAAATTGTTAACCGCTTTTTCCTTTTTCTTTTAATTTCAGTTAATTTATTAGAAGGATTAATTATAGATACTTTTTTTATTTAAAAATATTTTTAAATTAAAGAAATAAATTTTTGTTTAAAAAATAAATTTTTTCAATCAGTTAAAAATGCTTTTTAAAAATGTTGGATTTTTTGTTTTAAAAATTATTTCTTTAAATTATGCATTCAATCGAGGTTTTGTTTTGTGTTAAAATGTTTTTAAAATTTTTAGAAAGGAATGGAAATTTAAAATTTCAAGATTTAAAATATTTTTAGAATTTAAAAAAGAAATTAAATTTTTAATTAAAGATTTTTTTATTAACATTCATTTAATTGAGAAAAACGAAAAAAGACTGAACACAAAAATTTCTTCAAAATTCGAAATTTGACATTTCTAATATTTTTTAATTAAATATTTAATTATTAAGCAATATACTTGTTTGATAATTTTATATGTTTCTATTTAACTATATTTTAAGTTTATTTTGGTTTTATTTTTTTATTTTTAAAAATCGACAATAAAGACTTTTAAATTTTTAAATAGTAACTTACAAAAAATTATTTATTTTTAAATCCATTTTTGGCAATTATTTCCAAAAAATTATTTGAGAAAGATCTCGTTCCAATTTTTACAAAATTGAGTTTTATTATTTTTAGCAACTAAAAATTGTTTTTTATTTTTATTTATTATTTACATAATTTAGAGACTAATAATTCAGAGAATTATTTTTAAAGTAAATTTACTAAAAATAAATCATAACACAAATATTTTGTACAAACACTCTCATAAGGTAAAAACACAGTTGAGAGAATTCTTTTATTTTTGGCAAAACTAAAAAAATACTTTTATTTTTTATTTTCCCCGCCTAACAGAGAAATTAATTATTTAAATTTTGGTTTTTAAATTAAAAAATAGCCATATATAAAATAACTGGCAATAAGCCATCATTACATTAAATTTAGCCCAAAAAATCAGAAATTTATTTATATAATCAACAATTCCTTTTACTATTCACTTTCAATATATTTTTAAAATATTGATATATTTAGTAAATAATTTCTCAATTAAAATTATAAAAAATTAATTTAAATTTTTAAAAATTAAAACATTTTTGTAAAATTTGAAACTAGAAATCATACCCAGTGAATGAAAATTAAAAAAGTTTTTTTTTTCAATTAGGTAATTTATTTATTAAAAACATTGTTTTCCAAATAAAAGAATTTTTAAAAATTTTTAAAAATAAAAAAAATTTTCCGAATTTTTTTCCAAAAAAATTCCATTTAATTTTTCTAATATTTAATTTTCAAATTATTTAGAAATGAAATATTTATTATTTTTAAATTTATTTAATTATTTTTATATTTTTTTAAACTTAATTGGAAGTTTAAATTGTTATGAGGAAGAAAATATTAAAAATAATAATAATCAATTTTTTGTTTTTCCAATTATGCAAAATAAAAATATTAAAAAATATTTTGAAAATAAAGGTTAATTAAATTAATTTTTATTTAAAAATTAATTAATTAAAGCTTCAAATAATTTACAAATAAATTTACACAATTCCCGTCGTTGGGGAAATATTTTAATTGGAACTAAAGGTTTTTTAAAATAAAGTACTTTTTTCCTAAAATTAATTCTCTCAGCAAAAACTTTTCAATTGGGATTTAATTTACAATCTCCATATTTTTGGGTTATTGACTCTACAGCAAAAATTGATGAAAGTAAACTTAAACGAACAAAAGTTAGATATAATAACAAGTAAATTTTTAATTACTTTGGAACGGGAGTGTCGGGTTTCGGAGTTTGCCGGGGTAGAGCCTTCGGGGGTTGGGTCGGGGTTTTTGCCAAAAAAATAGTCGGGGTAGGTGGTTCAGGGGACTTGGTGCTACCCTAGTTTATACTTGTAAAAATGAGTGTTTATCTATTAATTAAATTGTTTTTTAAAAGAGAGTCTTCTTCTTCCTATTCCTTAAATAAAACACTAACATTTTCTGTTGATTCAATTAATGCAATAGAAAGTAATCTTTATTTGGATAATATTGAGGTAATTAGTTAATTAAAAATTATTTTTTAAAAAAATAAATAGATTGGTGGAATTAAAATAAAGAATATAACAATAGCTTCGGCAATAAAAGGAATTCCAATAGAATATATCCCAACAACAGGAAAGGATGTTTATTGTCCAATTGATGGGGAATTTGGATTAGCACCTTTACTAAATGATAAAAATAAAATACCTACAACATTAAATTTATTAACTAAATATTTATCAAAACCTATAGTTACAATTTATACAATAAATGATTTGTAAGTGAATTTTTAAATATTTAAATTTAAAAAAGTGTTGAGGCTTTAATGAAAAATAAAGTTTTAAGTGCTTTGTTTAAGTTTTTTTATTGGATTTAAATATTAGAAATAAGTTTAAATTAAAAAAATTTTTTTGTTTAAGTTCTTTATTAGATAAAAGTAGTAACAAATAGAGATCGAGCTGGCCTATACCAAGACCTGGGTTTTTCTTGTACCGAGTCCAGGCCCAGGCATTTTTTGACCTTCCTGGGGTTTTCCTAGGCCTGGAGTTTTCCTGGACTACAGGCCCAGGATCTGGCCCAAGTCAATAAATACCCCAGAGTCCAGGAACAGGTCAAGGCTTTTCAAAAATCTCGATCTCTAGTAACAAGCACGTGAGGAAATTTAAAATAATTTTCAATTATACTTATTAAAAAAATTAATTTTTAAATTTTCCTTTAAAAAAAAGAGGGGCAGATACAGACAATCAAAATATTGGAACACTTACAGTTGGAGAGGAAAATACTGAAAATTGTATTCCCCCATATAAATATGTTGAATTAGCTGAAAATAATCAATGGTCTGTTGAAATAAACAAAATTGAATTGAGTGGAAATAAACAACTGGTTTTATTTTAATTGAGAAATAAAAATAATTATTATAATTTTTTAAAGAAAAATACAAAATCTAAAATGTTTAGAATTGTAGAGGATGGATTTTATATGTATATGCCAAAGGGGGATTTGGATAATTTGGCTGGAATTTTAAATGCAGAAATTCCACAAGAAGTGAGGAAACATAAAATTATTTAAATTAAATTTTAAATACAGATTGGCGGCTTCTATAAACTCAACATAACAGAATGTAAAAGACCAAAACCAACAATAACTTTTATGCTTGGGGGACCTAAAATTGGCAGTAAACATTCAACAAATCCAAAAGAAATTATCACAACAACTATTACATTAGCTCCATATCAATATATTGCTCCTGTTTGTTAAAAAAATTTTTATTTTAAAAAATAAAGAGAATTAGGAGGTTGTCTAGTTTCTAACAGAAATGCCTACTACTTACACCCGAAAATCATTATAGTAGTTTAACTTTTATGTCCCTTTCATATAATGGCAGATTTCTGCAAGAGAGATCCCAAAATTTATTATAATTATTGAAGAACTAACTCTGTTTTTTTTAGATTTTACTCGAAATATTTTCAAAAAAAAATTATTTTCAGACAGAATATGGAAATGAATGTTTATTACTTTTTGTTACAAATGAAGAAATGAATTATGATAATAAATATATAAATATGGGAGAAGTATTTTTACGTAATCGTTGTGTTTCTCTCAATTGGGTTAATGGTAGAATGGGATTTGCGGATGGAAAGAAGCCAACAAAAATTGTAAAAAAAGGAGAAGAATTACTAAATTGAATGATTTCTTTTAAATTATTTTGAAAATTTGTTAAATTAATTTAATAATTTTTTTTTGCTGTTTCTTTCTTCCTTAAATAAATTATGTTTACATAATTTTAATTTTAGTTAAAATCATGTTATCCAAATGCTAAATATGGATTTAAATGACAATAATGAGAAGGGGACTTTACTAATTGTACATTGAAATTTTTGATTGAGATCTCGTCTCGTCCCTTCTCCACAATCTCTACTCACGAATCCTAATAAATTGTATGTTATTGTGTAAAGAATGGGTTTTTGCCTTGTTATTGAAATTTAAAGTTGCTTTAAAAGTCTTGATGAATTTGAAAATTCAAATATTTAGAGGTCAATGTATAACTTTTTCGGCCTTGTCAGGTCTGAAAAAGCCAAAAATTGGCTATAAAAATCGGTCATTTTTTAACTATTTCATAAAATTGATCAACAATACAGTAAAGAAAGAGAACTTTAAATATTAAAATATAAAATAAAATTATGTAGCCAATTAAAATATTTTAATGTATTATGATTGACGTATTAAAATATTTAGATTACTTTTACTTATAAATTAAACAAAATAATTGGGATTAAAAATTAAAGTTCAATTAAAAATTTTTGAATGAATGAATAATTAATACTTTCTTGGTAATTTTTAAATAATTTTTGTATTTATGTGGGTGATTTTCATGATAATTTATAATTATAATTAAAATAAGGGCAACATTCTTTAACTTCCTTTTTTACAATATATAAAATAATAAATATATAACTTTATTCATTATTCATTATTTAAATTTCAAAAATTTTTATTTAAAAAATTCTTTCTTTAAAAAATGTCAGATCCAAGAGAATCTCCACTTGTTAGAGCAACATGGACAATAAATACTTGTGTAGATCAGATTGGAACTTTTTTATTTGCTTGCTTAATTATTGCTACAATTAAACAAAAGTAACAACTTAAAAAATTTTTAAAATTAGTTAAAATTTTTTTTAATCTAAGAGTGTTTTGGAATTAATATTTATATCCAAAAATTTAAAATAAAAGTTTATTAAACACATGATATTTTAAATAACATTTTAATTATGAAAATAATCTACTAATTAAATAAAAATTTTTAGACGTTTACACAATACTTGTCAAATATTAATTGGCATTTATGCTTTTTGTTCTCTCCTTTCAAAAATCCAAATTATTTTGCCTTATTTTGTTTTTATGTTACCTGGATCTGGCAAAATTCCCCGTTTATTTTGTGCTTTAATTCAAATAATTCCAATTGGTGGTTGTTTAAATGTTTTTAGTTTAATGTTAGTTATTGGAATTGACAGAATGTTAGGGATATTTTGCCCTATTTGGTAATTAATTAAAAATAAAAATAAATTTTTTTGGATAATTATCATTTTTTAGGTATTCAACACGAAGTGACAGAAATTATTTAAAATTATTATTTTTCCTTTCTTTATCATTTCCCTTTATATTTTTATGTTTTGTAATTCGTTCATTAATACAAGACCCTTTTTTGTATGTTTTTTTTAATTTAAATATTTAAAATATTTTTTAATTTAAAGACAAATCCAATGTTTCTTTCCTGATTTGGTTGGAATTGATGGACAAAATTTTTTCGACATGACACAATTATTATTAATGTTTATAACTCTGGGATGTTATATTCTTATGTTAGCTAAATTAATTTATGATCAGAAGAAAGGAAAAGGTAATTAAATATTGAAGAAATTAAAGAAAATATTTTTAAATAATTATTCTTAAATGAACTTTCAACTTTCGTACTGAATTTGTGTAGGATTCTCATCTACCATTTCTTTTCTCATATTTTTTCTCATTTTTCTTGTTTCCGTTTTAAAGAAACGGAACGTTTAACTATCAAAAAATTAGAATACCCCAAGAAAGTTAAAAATTTAATTTATGAAGAATAAGACTATAACTTATCCAAATTTACCTATTTTTAAAATATAATTCACCCAGTATATTTAAATTTATTTAAAGGTTGTTCAATACGTAAATCTATATATAAAACACTTGCTTTAATTATGGGGATACAAATTGGTGGATATATTTCTACATTAATTGTTTACAATATTTTTAATCAAATCTCTTCTAATTTTACTGCAGAACAATCACAAATAATTGGTTGCATAATTAATGTAGCTTCTTCTTTAAGTTCATCAATTGAAGTACCGGCTATTTTTATTGTTAGGTATTTGATTTCAAAAAATTATTTTATTTTGAAAATTTATTTTTTAAAGTACTGAACATCGTTTGGCGTTAAAAGAAGAATTTAAATGGTTTTTTAATTTATTTTCAAAAAATAATAAAAATACTGCAAAAGTATTTACTTTAACAAATAAAAATACATTAACTGTTAATACTAAAACAATTACAAAAACAAACAATGGAATTGCTAATGTTGGATAGGAAATTTGTTCAGATGCATATATGTGATCAAAAAATATTATCTAAACAAAAATTATTTCTAAGGATTTAACTAAATAAATGTATAAAATTAATGTATTTTTGTACAAATTAATTTTTAATCAGCAAATCCATAATTTTATTTTCAATTTCTGTTTGTACATGATTAACATTCTATTTATTTTAATTTTTAATTTAAAAATTGTAATTGGTAAAATAAAAATTTTTCTATTATTTTTTAATTTCTAAGGAATTAAAAATAAAAATGAAAGTACGTGTATGTATTATTTGTAAAATATACGGTTAAATTATTTGTGTATTTGAATGGATTTATTAATAGATTAAAATTAATTTAGAAAATTTTTATTTTTAAATTATTTATTCAAATCACTAGTAAAACATTTTTGTCAATAATAATCATTTGGTTTTAAAAAATAATAAACTTGTTCATTAATGTAGCCATGACAACAAACTAATTTTATTTTTAAATGTTTTTTATTTTAAATATATTTTGAATATTAAAATATTTATTTCTTAAATAAATAAAAATATTAAAAATAATTATTTTTATTTTTTAAAATGCAAAATCATATGTATGTTTTTCCAGCAAGAAAGGTATTTTAAAATATAATTATGGAAATTATAAATAAGTTTTTCTTTGTTATATTTATTTTTAATAATTATTTCTTTTTTGAATTAATTTTTATTTATTTTAAGTTCCAAATCCAAACACCCGGTTCAACAACATTTACATGTATTTCTTGGATGTTAAATAGAGGTTATGTCGCTGTTGGCGGTAGCGATGGAGCTTTGCGTGTTATGCTATTAAATCTTGATCAGGGTAATTAATAAATAAAAATCTTCTATTAATTTTTCTAAAAGACAAATCAAATCCTCCTTCTTCATTAAATCCTTGGCTATCTAGTCAACAACTTGAAGGCCACTCATCTAGTGGTATGAATATTGTTAAAAAAATTTTTGAAATTCATATTTTTATTTAGTTAGAGTATTAAGTTGGAATGAAGTTTATCAAAAATTAGCCTCTACAGATGATGCTGGTGTTATTATTGTTTGGATGACACACGGGTAATTTTAAAAATTAAATTTAAAAATAATTTAAATTTAGACCAGACGAATCTTGGTTTGAGGAAATGGTTAATAATAGACAAAAATCAACAGTATCTTCTTTAAAATGGTCAAATGATGGAATGAAAATTGCTATTGCTTATGAAGATGGTAATTTTGGAAATTATAAAATTTTGAAAAAAAATTCCTAAAAACTATAGGACAAGTAATTATTGGTTCAGTAGATGGAAATCGTCTTTGGAATAAAGATATTGGTGGATCTCTGACTAAAATTGCAGTTAATTATTTTATTTTAAAAATTATAAAAAATCGAATTTTCGTTAACTAAAAAGAAATGTCAATTCTAATTAAAATAATTTTAGTGGAATACTGATGATACACTTTTATTACTTGGTTATTAATTTATTAATTTAATTGTAAAATAATTAATTTTTAAAGGTTTTGCTGATGGCGAGGTTCATGCATATAGTCAATATGGCGATTTTGTTAGTAAAGTTAAAATGCTTTGTGTTGAAAATATGGAATTAGAAACGGCACTTTCAAGTGAAAATTAAATAATTTTTAAGTAATTAATATAATTTCACTTAGAAGATCTTAGAAAAGATGTAATTGTTTCTATGGAATGGTATGTACCTCCACATTCAAGTAAAATTGTTACTAATGTTGGTGGTGGCCAATCATTAACACAGCAATATAGAAGTAACAAATAATTATTTAATGGTCTGATAGAAGGAGAAAATTACGAAAATTCTAACTGCTCTCTAATAAACAGACTTTCCAAAAATCCATTAAAATATTTAAAAATATTTTTCTTTTTAAGATGCTGATATTTCCTATAATCTAACTGGTGATGAATCTTATAATACAGCATCTCGCTTAAAAGTTCCCGAAGGAAGGCCTCCTTTCCTCGTTGCCTATCAAAATGGAAATATTCAATTAATGTGTAATGAAAATATTTCTAGTAAATATTTTCTTAAAATTTTTTCAAAAAAATATTTTTGAAGAAGGTGTAAGTATTGTCCGTTTACCTTCAACATTAATAATTATGGCACAATGGTCACCAGATGGGTCAATGTTTGCCGTTGCTGGTTTACAATTAGATTTACCGGAAACTGAAAGAAATGTTTTACATTTTATTTCTGCTTATGGAGAGGTTGAAAAAAATATTTTTTTGAAAAAAAAATATTTTTAGCGTCTCCAAAGTATTCGCTTGGCTCCTGGCCATTTTGCCGGGATTGCTTGGGAAAGTTCTGGCCATAGACTTGGTGCTCTTATTGACACAAATATTTATTTGGTTGTTATTAAATTCCCTTATCGTTGGACTTATTGTGGACAAACACTAGTTTTTGCTTATAAAACCTTGGATTCTTTACAAGAAGTTTTTTTGATTATTTTAAAATATTTAAAAAAAATATTGTTTAAAGGTTTTAGTATTTTATGAAACAAAAATGGAAGTAAAAACTAAACGTTATGTTCAAAATCTTTGTTCACTTAAATCTTATGGAGATTATTGTGTGACAATTTTTAGAACAGAGGAATTACGAGGAGCGGTTAATAATTCGATTTTAATTTTAGAAATATCTCATTAAAAATACTTTTTTAAGTATACGATGCAACTTTGTGACAGTATTGGGACACCAGTAGATAGCCATACAACTAATGTTCCTTGCAATGTTGTTGCTATGAATGCTAGTGTTGTTAGTAAATAAATACTTTAATTTAACTAAAATAATTTTAAAAAGGTAATTGTTGCCTCTACAGAATCTTTTATTGTTTGGCATTATTCTGTTCCACGTCAAGAAAATATTACTGTCTCTACAGGCTTTCAGAAAACTGGAAATACAAATAGAAATATTCCCACAGATCAGAATGACAAGTAAAAATGAAAATAAAATTTTCTAAAAAAATTTCTTTAAGAGTTCATTATATAGACGAACATCGTACAGAAAAGCAGCAACAACCAACTAATGGAGTAACTACAGATCCTATATGTGCTATAGCTACATCAGCTAATTTCTTTTTAATTGTAATTTTATTTAATTAAGGAATAATAATATTTAATAAAAAAAGGCTTGTGAATCAGGAATACTTTATCGTTTTTCATTACCTAATGTCCAATTACAATCAACATTTAAATCAAACATTCCAGCTCCAAAATTAATGACAATTAATTGTGATGGTTCTAGATTAGCTTTAATAGGCAAATATAATGTTTTACGTTTAATTGATTTACCCAAAGAAAATATATTTACACCAATTTTAACTTTTGAAAGGAGGGAAGTTTGGAGTGTTGAATGGGATGATGCTAAAAATGATTTATTGGCATTAATGGAAAAGCAAAGACTTGTAATTGTTAGAGGAACTGAAGTATTTATTTATTATATTTTGACATATTTAAATTTCAAAAATAAAGACAGATGAACCAATTCCACATATTGGACGTATTTGCCAATTTAAAGATTTAGTTGTACGCCTTGTTCTGCTTGATGACATTTTTAAAGAGCCCGATCGTGTTAGCCGTCACTCTTTTGTTGAAATTGAAATAAAGATACTTAAAACAATAAAATCAACACTCGAATCTGACAAATTACAAGACGCAATTGCTCTTATCGAGAAAGGAAATCATCCAAAACTTTGGTTAATTTAACAAAAAATCCAAATAAAAAAATTTTTTAAAGGAATATTTTGGCAAAAGACGCCCTAAAAAGACTTGACCTTCGAACAGCAGAACATGCATTTGTTAAATTACAAGATTATGGGGGAATACTTTTTCTTAAAAGATTGCAAAATATTCACTCTGATTCTTTAAAAAGAGCTGAAGTTTCTGTTTTTCTTGGGGATTTGGAGACGGCGGAAAAAATTTATTTTGAAAATGATAGAAGGTAAAAATGATTATTTTTAATAAATAAAGAGAAAGAAGAATTTTAAATTAAAATTTAAAGAGATTTGGCTATTGATATGTTAAAGAAAATGCATGATTGGTTTCGAATTCAACAAATTTTACAAACATCAAATGGACCTGGAGATGATGCTTTGGCACAACAAACATGGCAACATGTTGGAGATTATTTTGCTGAAAGACAGAAATGGTCTTTCTAAGTTTTAATCATCAAACATCGAGTCCTAAAAAAATAATTTTAAACAAAAATAAGAGATACTCATCAATGTTCCCGCTAAGACTCAAATAGACCCAACCGACATATCTCTAAAAGTCAAACGTCGACATGAGAAGAGTAACATACTCTGTACTCTCTAACTGTTACTTCCTACTGTTATACAACGGTTATACTATAACCACTTGTCAGCCCTTCAAAATAAATGATTTCCTTTATGAAATTTTAAATTTAAATAATAATTCAATCAAAAGGCAAAGTGCCGCTCGTTATTACGAACAATCTCGAAGTTACTCCGAATTAGCACGTTGTTATCTAATGATGGATGACTTTGCTCGAATGGAAACACTTGGACAGGAATTGCCTGAAGGCCATGAAGTATTAAATGTATAAAAGAATAAATATTAAAGAAAAATAAATATATATTTACAGCAATTGGCTGAAACATTTACTAGTTATGGACTTTGTGAACAAGCTGTTGATTGTTATTTAAAAGTAATATACTTTTAATGACAAAAAATTCATTTTTATTAAAGTGTAATCGAATAAGTGATGCTTTCGAAACTTGTATTAAATTAAATAAATGGGATCGAGCTGCTGAACTTTCTGACCGTTATCATCTTGCTAATGTTGAAAATTTACTTAATCAATATGCACATCAAATTGTGGGAAATAAAACAAAAAATTTGGCTATCGCTCAACTTTATTCAAAAGCGGCAAAATATTTGAAGGCTGCAAAAATTGTTTATGAGGTGAAAAATGAAAAAGGAATTTAATAAACAAAAATAAATTTCTTTTTAAAAAAAATCAAAGGTAGCAAATTCAGAACATCAAAAACAAGCACCCCCTCTTCGTTTAAAAAAACTTTATGTAATGGGGGCTCTTTTAGTTGAAGAATATTATGAACAAAATCGTCAAAAAATTGCAAAAAGGAAAGAAGAAAGTGGAGGGGTATGCAATAAAAATTTAAAGAAAAATTCAAAAATAATTTTTCTAAAGTCTTCATCATTAGCTTTAGATGGTCTTTTAGCTAGTGATCATAATTTAAGTATGGAAGAAGTTAGAATGATAGATACTTCATGGAGAGGTGCGGAAGCTTATCATTTTTTTATGTTAGCTCACTCACATTTATATAAGAGTGATTATGTATCGGCAGTCAAAACAGCTTTAACCCTTACAAATTATGAAGATTTATTAGATCCTATGGAAGTTTATTCTTTATTAGGTAATTGAAGAATAATCTTTTTAACAATATTTTAAAAGCTTTAACTTCATATCTTGCTGAATATTATGGTGTCTGTTCCAAAGCTTTTATGAAATTAGAAGCAATGCAAAATATTTCAAAAGAAGAACAAGAAGTTTATGCTAGTTTAGCTATGCAAATATTTTTAAAGTTTTTTTAAAAATATTTTCTTTTGACATATTTTTTTAAAGAAATGAGCCAAAAGATCAACGTGTTAATTATGTAGAATGCCCCAATTGTGATGCTAAAATTGAGGATCATTCAATTGTTTGCCCCAATTTAAAATGTAATAATCGCCCTCCTATTTGTGTGGCTACTGGCCGTCCAATATTTGAAACACAATTTTGGATATGCAAAAAATGCAAACATCGAGCTTATCAAAAAGAAATTAATTCTTATATTAATTGTCCACTTTGCCATAATGATTTTAATAAATAAATAAATTCGTTAAATTTAACAAAAAAATCAAAAAAATGTTTTTAGAAAATTACAAAAAGGATATTCTTAAATTCAGACAATTGCTTGAAAATACTAAATTTACTTAAGAAATTTTACAAAAATTAAAAACCTGTACTAACCCAAATCCTAAGTCGATAATTATAAAGGAACCATGGCTAGTTGAAGGGGCAAACTTCAACGTTGTTGAAACAACTTTTCTCGTGAATCTCCAACCCAAAATATTAATTTTTTAAATTAATCCTAAAAAACTATTTTTTATTTCCCTGTTTGATATCTTGACAGCTTTTGAGGGTCTCATATTTCTGTGCCCCATTTCCAAAAAAATAAAATTTAGTATTCCAAGCAAAATCCAAAACTTGTCTCTCATTTAAATAATTTAAAGTCACCAAAATAAAAATAAAAAACCGAGCAATTTTTAAATTTCACCTTTAAATTAATGAGATAATTCAACTAATTCTTTAAGACACACTCATCTTCAGAGACCCGATCTTCACGAAAAATTCTTTCAGATTTTTCATCCTTCAACATATATGCAGGGAAATATCTGTAAAAAATAATTAAATAAATTTTTTAGAGTTTAAGGTGATTTCTTAAATTTAAATTATTTCCTTTTTTTACCTTTCTCCTTCACCATTTTCAATTATTTTCAAATGTGGATTCTTTGCAGTTTTTTTCCTTTCACCCAAAGACGAATATCCTTGATCATATAAACAGCAATATGGAATATTTAAATAACGTAGTAAAATCCAAATATCAGAATAACTAAAATCCAACAATGGACAGACCTAAAGAAAGAAATATTATTTTCTAATTAAATTGTAGACTTTAATTTGAGTTAATAAATGAAGTTGGAAATCTCTTAAGTTTACAAATTATTTTAGGAGAGATTTTAGCCATGACACAAACTTTACTCTAACAAACCAGGCTGCTCATCACCATTTTCTATTTAATCCTAACCTATTTCTAAAAATTTTTAACATCACACAAGGTTTCAGTTGACGAACCGACTTCCACTGTTCCAACTTGCTTCGTTCGGAACACCTTAACTCGACGGAACAATAGTTATTTTTATGCGAAATGAAATTCCAGATCGCATAAAAATTCATTTGGAGGTGCGACATTTCATTGGACGTAAAAAGGTGCGATTGGACCCCTAAACTGGACAAAAGCCAAACTTTTTTGGAGTCTGTCAATTTATTAAAAAATAAAAAATTTACTCTTAAAAAAGAAGGCCATCCTTCCTCAGTCCATTCACATTTAGATTTCATTTTTGCAGCTTTAGGATCACTATGACGAGAACCCATTGGAGTAGCAACAATTTCAGGTTTTTTATTTTTTAAACAAATCAATCCACTTTTTAACGGCCCTTCCAATTCAAGAACTTCTAAATTATATCTTTAAAAAATTTAAATAGAATTTTATTTAAAATTAAAAAAATAAAACCACTTTTCAGAAATTGAATTAACAAAATCCACAACTTCCGGGAATTCATCATCACTTTTTATATAAAAAGCATTTATTTGTTTTTGATTATTATATTTTCTTAAATTAAAAAAATTTAAATTTTAATTCAAAAAATATTTTTACTTATTTACACAAGCTCTAAAAAGGTGTAATAAAAGAGTACAATCCTTTCCGCCATTAAATGAAAGAGAAATTTGTTCCAAACTAAAAAAAATAGAAATTTTAAATTAAAAATTCACGAAACAATTAACCTTAAATTTTGTTTAAAATTCTTTTTTTTTCGCTAAATATTTCGATAATCTTTTAATTTTTAGGTATTTTATGGATATCTCGTCCCCCTTGTTTGAATTCCTAAGTTATTCTTTCTACATGATGGTCAGACTTGCTCATATAATTTTCACTTAAATATATTGCTTGAAAAAAAATAAATGATTGGAGGAAAAATGAAAGTAACTTTTAGATTTAAAAAAAAGGGGGGCGAGGGATATCCATAAATTACCGATTTTTATTTTTTTGTATTTAATTCCCTCTACTTATCCAAATACAAACCTATATTTATCCAAAATTTCCTCAATTGTCTGTAAAGCTCCTTTTAATTTATTTGAAATTTCTTTTGATTTAAAATTTATTTGAAAAGCTTCCAATTTTTCATAAGCATTTTCCCATGGACGGGGATCGAATTGATCTTAAAAAATATTTTTTAAATTAAAAATTCTTTTACAAAAAACCTCCTCCATTTTCAAAATTTCCCCAATTTTCTTTAATTAAAAATTTCAATTTTTCTTTATAATTAGCTTCTGAATGTGTTGAAGAAGATAAATGTTTAATTAAATTTGTAACGTCAAAATAATTCAAAATTTTTAATTTTAATTTACATTCAGTACATTCCACTAAACTTTCTTCTTCTTCTTTTAATCGATTAAATAATTTTTGTCCATTTATTCTTTCCAAATTCCAAATTGGGTGGATTTTAGAGGACATTTTTGAAAAATAATTTAAAAATTCAATTTTTTTAAAAATATTTTTTGGTTTCTTGGCGACACAATTCCTTGTTGAAAAATTAATTAAATGTGAATAAAATGAAAGAAATAAAGTTTTAGAAAAATTTATTTGAATAATAAATCCCTTCATTGTGTTTAACTAAAAAAGAATTAAATTACGTGTATAAACATTTCTCTCTTCTCTCTCTTTTACTCTAACTGTTTCTGTTGGGTCTGCCCCAGAAGATCAAAACCCAGAAGGTTTAAATAATTGGAATTTTTCCCAGAAGATCACCCCCACAGGAGATCAAATGATCCAGAAAGTACTGCCTTCTGGGTTTTGACTTTCTGGGTTATCCCTTTCTGTTTATTAAATATTAATTTTTTAAAGACAAGTTGAAAAGTCTCTTGCTCATCTTGATGATTTATAATGGTGGGAAAAATACATATAATTTAGTAAAAGTGAACCAAAAATTAAAGATTAAATGTAAATAATTAAATGCCTGGTACTTAATATAAAGAATTAAATTTAATATGATTTTTAAAAATTAAACTTAACAGATATTTATATTTTAATTCATATCGAGAATTTAGTATTCAAAAAACAGTATTTACTATATAATGCTTAATATTTTACATAATACAAAACCAAAAATATTTACAATACAAAATTACATTTACAATAGATTAATGATAATTTTCTAATTATTTTTTCTCTTCGAAATATTATTTTGTTTCTTTCGATTATTTTCTTTTTGACTTTTCTGACGGCTTTTATTTTGCTCTCTTATAGACAATTCTGAAGAGATTGAACTTGATGTTGAACTCGAAGTGGAGGATTCGGAAGAAATGCTAGGCTCTTTGTAAGTTATTTTTCTTACAATAGGAAGAATTTTGGCTCTTTGTTGATTTTTTTCCGAAAAAGTCTGACTTGGCTGTTTGGAAATTAGTTGAGTGGAGGAACTGAAAAATAAAATTTTATACAATTTTCTATTAATTTTTAACCTTTTTATTTGCTTCGCTTTTCTCAAATCCGGCACATTGTGATGCATTATTGGCTGTATTTTTAAAACAACCTTCATTATATCATCAATTACCTTTAATTTTTAAATTTATTTTTATTTTTTAAAATTATTTTTCCTCACATTATCACGGTTTTTCGTAACCATTTTGTCTATTTCTCGAAGTTTTGCCCGATTTTTATTTTCCAAAATCGCTGCATAATCGAGTTCTTCTTTCTGAAGTCTGATAACATATTTTTGGTGTTGCTCCTCTCTCTTCTAAAAATTAAAGTTGAATATTCAGTCAAAAAATTCCACAGTTCACCTTCTTAAACTCAGCAATTTCCCTTCTAGCATCTTCATAAGCTTTGTCCATTACCCTCACATAATTGTGCCTTGCTTCTAAAATTTAAAAATTCCATTAAAAAATTCACAACATAAAAATTACTTTCAATAGTTACTTCACATCTCTTTTCACATTCCCGAAGCATTCCAATTGCTCTAGCCCCATCAACATAATAAGTTGTCTTTTGTTTCTTCTTTGAATTGCTTGCCGACTTCTTGACAATTTTCTGCTTTTTGATTTTTAGAGACTTCTTTTTGTTACAAATTGCTAGAAACGTTGTCGAGCAGCAAATGGTGTAGACAAACACAAAAATGAGGGACAAAGCTGGATAATTGAAAGACTTGAAGAAGAGTTGAGAGATCATGGAAGGAGAATTAACAAGGAAGGGGTAATGAAAATTGTGTCCTTTGATGCTTTTATAGAGGAGTATGTTCACAATAAAAATTACAAAAAAACTACTAATTTAGGCAAAATTGTTATAAATTTTATTCGATTGCTTTAAAATAAAATATTAATTTAACTGTTATTATTAAATTAAATAATAAAAGATTAGAGATTAAATCTTCAAAATATATCTTACTATAATTTATATATTAATATACAAAACACAGAAACTCTAAAATTCTGATATAATTTAATCTCTAATATACAATTTTGATGTGTATATATTTGTAAATATTAATGAGATTTTATTTAATTAATATTTTCAAAATTAAAGAAGATTTGCTTTTGAAGAAGTATTATCTGAAGAATGAATGGTTGAATGATAAGTAGTACCAGGCGACCTAAAAAGTACAAAAAATCATTTAGAAATTTTTTTATTAAGAGGCCCTCTTTTTCCAAATATATTTAACTTTGATATATTAAAGGTTAGATTAATAATTTTAAATCCCCCTACATTTGATATTGTTGTGATGCTGGTGCAACAACAGTTGAAAATACATTAGTTTTGTGAACAGGTGAACGATTAATAGGCTGTATTTGCGTTTGTTGTTGATTTTGTGTTGATAATGATGGTTGTTGTTGTGTGGAGTGTTGCTGTTGATGAAGTAAAGCACTAAGTAAATCAACAGGGAAAGGAAAAATAATTGTAGAATTTTTTTCGGCGCTAATAGAATTTAATGTTTGTAAATAACGAAGTTGAATTGCTTGGGGAGATTCTGCTATAACATCGGCTGCTTCTTTGAGAGCGCGGGAGGCTTTTTGTTCTCCTTCAGCAACAATTACCTTTAAATATTTTAATTGTTGTTTGAAATACTTCCAAAAAAAAGATACTTTTGCTCTAGCTTCACGTGCGGCCTCAGCCTCAGCAGCCATCGCTCGTTGTAATTGAATAGGCAACCTTACATCCTTAACTTCAACTCTTTCAACCTTTACTCCCCAAGGTTCAGTAGCTTCATCCAATGTTGCCTTTTTTAAATTAATTAATTTTATAATTTTTATTTTTTCTTTACTTGCATTTGAAGGGAAATAGCTTCACGGTCACTCAACATTTCAGCTAAAGTTTTAGTACCTAATATATTTCGTAAAGTTGTTTGAGCTAAAAGTTTTGTGGAGCGAGAAGCATCCTCTACATTTGTTACAGAAATTGTTGCATTAGAAATTCTTCAAAATAAAGGGAGAAAATAAAAAGAAAAATTCTCTATATCTTCTACCGGAAATAAACAACAGCATCAACAGCAACAGTTACAGAATCTTTAGAAAGTATTTCTTGTGGAGGGACCTAAAGTAGAACTATTTAATTTTGAGAACATTTTCTTTAAAAAACCTCGAAAGAAAGTACACGCAAATCAACCTTTCTATAAGTATCAATGCAAGGAACAATGAAGAAAATTCCTGGACCCTTGGCGCCGCCGGGAAGAAGTCGCCCCTTTAAATTATTTAAATTTAAAATATTTTTAAATAAATTTACAAGTCGAAAGATGACAGCACGCTCATATTCTTGAACTACCTTTATTGACATACAAGCCGATATAGGTAGTGTCAAGAATATGAGGATGTAGGAGAGAATGGTGAGGATCCAACCGCAGACGCCGAACTCGTTGTGGATGTTGGCTATTATAAAGAAAAATATTTAATTTTAATTTGAGAATTCTTAAAAAGATTAGAATATGCACGGATAAATAGTATAATAATTTGTGAAGAATGGGCTAACGTTAAGGAAACCAAGGAGTTGAGGTTGACTATACTATGTTCTAAAATCCTTAAAGGACTTGATCATTAAAGGACTTAATGCTATTCAGCTTATTTTAATACTAATTATTAAAATTTTTTTTATTTATCCAACTTAAATTATTTTTCTTTCTTTTTCTCAATAACAAAACACAAAAAAGCCAAAATTCTATAAATTACTTATTTTACCAATTTTAAAAATCTATCCAATATATCTTTTACGTTAATGAATACACGTAGCAACATACTGAGTTTCTTCACGTTTGCTTGTTAATGAATTAAATTATCAATAATCTAAAATTAATTACTCCCCTCAATACCCTCAGTTTTTATTCTTACTTCACTCTCTTTTTGAGGGAATGCCCCTTTTAGTTTTCTGCTTTAATTTTGGCAATTTTTTCTGCTTTAATTTTGGCAAAAACACTATAAGCGTTTTATTGGATCTGAGGTTTACAAAAAAAATCTAAATTTGGATGGAATGTTTTACACATGCAATTCACCAAAAAATAATATTTTATTTTTTTTCAAATAAAATCTCTCATTCATATTTTTCAAAAAATAAAAACAAATTTTTAGAGAAAGCTTAATTTATTAATGAAAATATTTTTGTTAATTTTTCTACAAATAATATTCTTAAATGTTTGTAAATGTTTAGAAATAAACAAAATTCAGAAATCAGCAATAGAAATAAGGAAAACTACGAATGGTAAAAATATTAATAATATAAATATTGTTGCTCCGGTTGATAATGAAACTGATATTATTAGAAAAAAACGATCAAATATAAATAGAGAGCGATTAATTAAAGTTAAGTTAGAAGAAGAAAAAAATTTGGAAAGTTCAACAAAAAGACAGGAATTGAAGGGATTTGATAAAAAGGTCGTTGAAGGAAATAAGGATGGAAAAATAAATGGAAGAAAAGTAGTGATTGAAGAAGATAATGATAAAAAATTAAATGAAGAAAAGGAATTGGAAGGTTTGGAATTAAAGAGAGAAGAAACGTTAAAAGAGAAAGCCGATGAAAAGGAACAATTAAATATTAAGAAAAATAATGAAAAGGATGAAGCTGGGCATAATGAAGAAAAAGTTATGATGAATGAAGTCGATGTAAACAGTTTGGATGAAGAGGAGAAAGAAGATACTCTAGAAGGGATTAATGAAAATACTAAAAGAAAAGAAATGGATAAAATGAATGAAGAGGATGAAAGGGAAGAAAATATGGGAGAGAAAGTTGAAATGAATAAATTGAATGAAGAAGAAGAGGAAGAGAATATTGAGGAGAAATTTAAAGCAAATGAAGGAAACAATGCGAATAAATTACAAAACAAACAAATTGTAGAGGAGAATAAAATAAAGGAAGAAAAGCTGGAATTGGGTGAAGAAGAATTGTTTGAAATAAATGAAAATAATGAGATTAAAAATAAACGTTGGGGGAGAATAGAAGAGAGTTATTTTAGTGAAGAAACAGATGATGAGGTTTGTAAAAATTGATTTAGAAAAAAATATATTTAAAAATAGGTAAAAGATAAAGAAGAAATTGAAAAACTTAAAGAAATTGAAGAAGAAAATAAAAATGAAAAGAAAATTGGAATTGAAGAAAAGGAAAGACAAATCTTCAAATTTGGTGATGAATTTAATAATAATAATAACGACAAACAACAAAAGGACAAGGAACAATTTTTTGGATTAAAAGAAAATTTAGAAGAAAATAATATTCAACAAAAATTTAATGAATATAAACAACAACCTCAACATTTGTCCTATAATTCTTATTTTAATTTATTTAATTCGGATGAAGGTTTTTTGATTTATTAATAAGAAATTATGGTTTCCCTTTGAATTTTTGAAAATAAGGGAATTAAATATATTTTGAATTAGAAACAGAATTTTATTGAGGATTAAACTTATACTTGAATTATATAGAAGGGGAAAGTGGAATTATTAATTGGGTATTGTAAGTATAGTTTGTAACAAGAAATTATAATTAAGCGGAGAAAACAGGTAGAACCAATGATTTATATTAAATTAATTTTTGTTTAATATATTTTAAATAGAATTAAATAATGGGCTATTACCCTTCGGATTTAGTCAACAAAATCCTTCATTAGACAGCTCTTTTTTGGATTTTGGATTTTACCAACAAAATGAAGTAATTCGAGAACCAAATTGGAATCTTCCAATTGATAAAAATAATTATTTAAATAATTATGGAGAAATACAAGAAAGTATATATGGAATGAATAATGATTATTATGAGCAATTCAAATACCAACACAAAAAGTACCAACAACAAAAATGGGATAATAAAGGTTACTAAACAATAATAAGAAACAAGAAATGTTAAAACTTAAATTTTAGAGGAATTTAAAAAAGTAAAAAATAAAAAAAATCTGAGATTGGGAATGGAGGGGAGGAGGGAAGGTATGAATAATTTAACTTTATTTCAACCTTTTAATTAGAATTATTAAAATTAATATTAAAAAATTAATTAAAATATTATAGAAATGAATTATGATTTTGGAGGCTCTAAATATTATTATGGATATGATAAATTATACGACAATAAATATTATTTTGATCCTATGGATAAGGACAAAAAGAAGCGTTAATTATTTAAAATTAATTATTTATTCAAAAAAAAAATAAGAGAAAAAAGTTTTTAATTTTGTCGGGATTTTTTGATTAAAGTATAGCTAATTATTTTGGTTTTTTACTATTTAATATTTTAAATTTCATAAAATATTTTTTTTTAATTTGAAGAATAAAACAATTATTTTTTAAATTATAATTTTTAAATATACTCGAGATTCTTATAAGGCTAAATTATAGCTAATGTTTTTGATAATCACTCGAAATTTATTATCAAATTCGATTTACCAATTTAAATTATTATTTTATATACATATGTATTAATTTTCTTATTAACTATTTATTAAAAATTAATGCGTTTATTTAATAAAAACCCAAATCAAAAAAAACTTTGAAATATTTTCGACAAAATACCAATTTTTAAATTGTTTACATATTTATTAATCACATTATTTAATGATTTACTTTATTTTAATTGAAATTTCCTTTTTTTTGTTTAATTCATTTTTTTCACATCATTGCCATTTTCTCCCTGTGGGTTGACTTGATTTGGTTGTCGTTGTTGTTGAGCAGGATTGAATTGATTTTGGAGTCCAAAAGTTGGAACTTGATTAGGGGGAGGATTGGGAAATTTATTAGGACTTCCACCACGATTTAGTTGTGATAAAAATGGATTTGCGTTGGGAAGATTGTTAGGAAGACCTCCTCCAAGAGGCCCTCCAAGAAAATTAGAGGGATGAGCAAATGCCGGAGGGACACCAATAGGTGGCTGTTGTTGTGGTGGAAAAGGTGGTGGAAACATTGGCTGTTGAAACATCGAAGATTGAAATGGAGAAGGAAATCCAGGATTATTCCAATCATTTAATCTATGAGGTCTTCCATGTCTTTTATTCCATTCCTCAGGCTCATCTTCAGCTCTTCGATTCGGCATATTGTTGTTATTTATAATTAAAGGTATAATTACAGGATTCTTTCCACCAGCTGCTAATTGTTTAAGTAATTTACGTACACTTTTAGGTATTTGACCATCAAAAGTATCTTCCTCACTTTCATCCTTTGGATTTTTTTTATTTTTTCTTATCTTTCTGCCTTCTTTATCTTTAGGATTTTCTTGCTTTTCTTCTTCCTCCTCCTCCTCATCTTCTCCACCTTTTTCCTTTTCAATTCTTCGCCTAGAAATTCCTTCATTGTGTGGCAAAGGCCCTGGTAATCTTTCTAAATTATCTTCATCTAAATCCTCATCCGAACTTGAACTTGATTCACTTTCATCCGACTCTACATCATACTTATTTCTACGAGTTCCTTCATATTCTCCGTTATCTTCTTCCTCATATTTTTTACTTTTATCTTTTTGAATATAAGGCTTTCCTGTGCTATTTTTATTTCCATTCTCCGAACTCAAAGCATTCTTCTTTTTATTTAATTCATCTTCCTCCTCAACAAGTTTAGCCAATTCTGCAGCCAACTCGCCATAGTCTGCTTTCTCAGTATCATCATAATCTCCAGTTGCTGTTTGAATTACTTTTGTAGTTGTTTCATTTTTTGTTTCGCTTTTATTTCTATTCTCGGTTACCCCCTTTACAAGAGAAATTGCTAATAGAAGAACAACCAAAAACAATTGTTTTTGTAAAAACATTTTCCTTAAATTTAATTTTAAGAATTAATTTAAAATTAAATTAAATGCTCGAATAATTACCCTATCTCAATTAATTGCCCCTCTCGATTAATTAACCCCTTTTAATGAAAGGTTGAAACAATAATTACCCAGGGTAATTATTTGAGCATATACATACACTAGACTTACAAACTTCTTTAAATTTTTTGAAAAAAAAATTGATTAAAGAAATATTAAAATTAATTTAGGGATTTTTAGAGGAATATTAAATGGTTTTAAATGGCTGACTAGAAAAATTAAATGCTTCACCCAACTAGCAGTTTGTTTTAAAAAGCCACATCTCTTTCAAAAAACCTTTCTAAAATTAATATCTCTCTTGCCATTCTCACTCAAAAAGATAAAAGTTTAAACAGCTTTTACAAAAATTTACTTGAAAATAATTTAATTAGTAAGCGTTTTGTTTAGTTTATTTTAGAGAAAGAGAGGTTAGAAAATTAAAAAAAATGAATATTTTTAAATTTTTTTATAAAAGAGAGAGAGAAGGAAAACTCTAAATTATGAAATAGAAAGGAGTGATGATTTATTTAAATGAATGAGTTGTCATCTGATTTAGATGGATTTAGAATTGCGAAATATTTATTTAAATTTTTTATTATAATAAAGGTTATTTGAACTCTTAAAGAAAAATATAAAAATATTTTTTAAAGTTGGTAATTAAAAATAAAAAAATTTTATTTTTAATTTAAAAGTTTGATATTGAAAGAGTTTTGATTAAAATTCAATTCCTTATTTGTTAGTTCATTTACATTTACTAAAACAATAGAACATATGTAATAAAGGTAGTTCGACATTTAGTGATAAAATTCCTTGATCAAATCTTGAAATTCCTTGATCAAATCTTGATCAAATTGAAATTCCTTGATCAAAAAAATTCCTTGATCAAATCTTGAATTCCTTGATCAAATCTTGAAAATTATCTTGATCAAATCTTGAAAAAAAAATTTTAAATAATTGAAGAAATAAAATATACAGGTAAATAAAATAATAAATTTAATAAAAAATAAAAATTAAATAATCTTTAGAAAAATATTTTTTAAATTCCCCTTTTAATACCTGTTATTATAGACATCCTTCCAAGTACATTACTGCTTTCAATAATTTCAATTTGGTTCTCATTTCCAAAAGAAAATTTTTCTCCAACTGGAGAAGGAGCTAAAGTAGTAGAAACAGCTCCTTCTCTAGCACCTAATAAAGGACTTAATGTTGCACTTCCTGCTGGTGAATAAGCTGCTAAAAGTGATTGCCTCCTTGAAGGAGGAATTAATTGTCCAGATTCTATTTGTTCCAAAGCCTCTCTAATTGAACGTCTATGTCCCAAAGAATGAGGGGAGGGATAATATGTGGATGTTGATGGGGGAAATAATGAAGGTCGACGTAAATGATGAAATTGATGTTGTGGCCAACTCGATCGACCACGGTTGGGCGATGTTTTTTTAAAAGAAATAATTTTTATAAAATTTTCTTGAAAGTTTTTCTTATTAAATAATTTTTTTTTATAATTTTCTCGCCCAACCCTGATCGACGTCTACTAAGAAGACAAGATGCTGCTGCATTTGAAATTAAATCTTGTGTTGGTGAATCTGCACGCGATCCAGGGGCAGAATAAAGCATTTTTTAAATTTTTATAAAGGTTTAGCAAATATAAACAAAAGAGTAATTTTGTGGAAAAGATTTCTTTAATTTTTAGGAGTAAGTTAGAAATAGATAAGATTTTAGGATTAATTTTTTGTTAAAAATATGTAATAAATTTGTTAATATGTCCAGAATATCTTATGAACAAGTAATTTTAATAATAATATTCCTAAACTCTAGAAAAAATTGTACAAATTTTATCTTTATTTTAAAAAATTAATTTATTTTAGAGAAAATATAAAGCAAATAAAAAATGAATATTTTTCATAATTTTAGACAAATGATTGATTCATTTTATTGGTATTATTTTTGTGGCTTTTACTTAAAAAGTAACTGGTAGTTAAAAATAAATTATATTTAAAGGATTAAATAAATAGGTAATTATTTTTTTATTTAAAAGATAATTTTAAAAATATTTTTTTAATTCGAAAAGTAAATATTTTTTGACAAAAACAAAAAATATTTGTGGCAACAGATGGTTAGATTTATTTTATTAATATTTTTATTTTGCAATATGGGAGGAATAAGTTTAGTGTTTTTTAAGTTGATAAATATTTTAAGAAGTTATATTTAAATATTTAAATAGAAACAAAACAAAAAAAACAATAGAACAAATTAAGGTGAAAAAGAGAACGTTTACAAAAAACTTGGAATATTTAAATAGTTAAAGGTGTAAAATAATTTTTAAAATATTTGGTTTTTAAACAAAAAAATAATTTATAATATCTAAATTAAAAATAACCACATCTTTTATTTAATCCCCATTTTTTATTCTAAAAATATTTTCAAGTCAAATCTTCGTCAAAACAAGCAAGACAATTTAAGATTTTTTTTGAAATTATTTTTTTTTCTTCCAAAAATTGTCAAAAATGTTTCTAATATTTAAACCCTTTTGTTCCCCCACTTCCTATTTTTTGTGGATTATTTTACTAAAAATATTTTTGATGGGAGGATTTTTGGATATAAAGTAAATTATAAAAAAAATTATATTTTTTTAATTTCTTAAATTTCTCTTTAAATTTTTAATTAATTTATAATTGAGATTTTGAGAGGATTTGTTGAGAAGTTGGAAAATAAAAATAAATATTAATTAAAAGTTTAAACAATGTTAAAATTCTCATTGAACTTTTACAAATAATTAAAAGTTTTAAATTATTTGTATAAAAAAGAATGGAAAGGAATATTTTTATCAGATTAAAGACTCCCTATTTTAATTAAAATATTTACAATTTATTTTCCCTTACCTTCATCATAATTATCGTAAACATTATAGTATTTGCAACTAAAGGATTTATTTATGTTGTCCCTTCTATTAATATTTTGTTGTTTTAAACGGGGGTAAAAATGACGAAAATTTTCAACTCTAACTCTTGGCCTTTCTATTGCCATTAATTTATAAAAATAAAAAATAATTAAATAATTTTAAGAGGAATAAAAAAATAAAGAAATTAATTTAAAAATCAAAAATAAACTAAATTTTAAAAATAAATATTTAAATTACCTATTTTTAAGTTTTTTATTCTCTAAGGAAAAAATAAAATTTAAAAAAGAGTGTAGGAGGGGGTATTTATATAAAATTGAATTTTCGTTACATTAAACTACTTTTTTCTTAACAAAAAAAAGAAAAAGATATCTCGAAAATAAATATTCAAAAAAAGAAAACAATTTTCTACTACTAAGAAAATATTTAAATAATTTTTTGTTTATTAAAGCTTTAAATTATTTAAATAATTACACATATACACATTTAAATATTTAAATATTTTTATTGCAACTTGTATTTTTTATTTTTATTTTTTCCTTCCAACATTTATTTTCATTCAATTCCCACCTATATAATAATTATTTTTATTTTTTGTTTTCCAAATCCCACACTAATAATTACATAATTTACTTTTTAAATGTGAACATAAAAATAGTTTTTTAAAAAAAAAGTAAAAATTAATTGATTTTGAGGTAAGCAAAAATATAAAAATAATTTTTAAATATTATTTGGAAAGAAGATTAACTATTAAATAATTAAATAAAATATTTAAAAGTCTAATTCTGGATTTAGCTAGGTAAAATAGTTAATAGGAATTAACAGTAGATTATGTTATAAAAAGTAGCACGAAATCGATGGAGAGGCTTTTAAAAAGTGTGTAGAGTATTTTTCTTGTAGAATTGTTTTAAAAATTTTAAAATCTCCAGAATTATCTCCACTATCCTATCTACTTGTCCAATTTTAACGACACAGATTAACTACTAAATATTTTTCCTTCACTAAATATACTATCTTCACAAAGATTTAGCCCTCCAAAATTAAAATTATTAAACCTAGTATACATATGATAGGAAGAGGGTACACTAATTTTATTTTATTCATTTACAAAAATGACTTACCCCCGAAGATTTCCACTCCATTCCGGATGGTGTAGCTCTGCGCCGTGTACTTGTTGAAATCGCCTGAGTCAATTGTATTTTTATTAGTTTGTTGGTTAGGTAGCTGAAAATTGGAAGGAGGAGAAGGAGAAGAAGAATGAAGCTCACCGCCCTTAAATTCGCTCGATTTGCTATCAGCAGTCCTCTTCTTTGTCATGAACACCTACACACAAAAAAAATTTTTTTTAATTTTCATGAAAAATTTTTAAATACAAAAAAAGCAAAACCAAAGCCTTTACTCTTTTTTAAATATATTTTTTGAAATAATATTTACATTTAAAAGTTAAGTTGATTATTATCGCCTCATTCACTACACATTTCTTGCTCCCAATAAAAATAATTTTTTACATAATTATTTTTCTCAATTTACATATTTAATGTACTCTTTACAATTTACATAATTATTATTGTCTCCTCCATGGATAGATTTTTAAAATGTTTAAGAGTTTCCACATATAGTACAAACTCACGGCCTCCTGATCCTGCATTTCCTGCAGCATTCGGGCCCGAAAGGATTCATGTGCCATTTTGAATTTGCTTTTAGGTGCAGGGAATGGATGCTGTAATTGCTGGGAAGCTGTTGAAGTAACTGCTGGACTAGCTGAAAGGCCACCGGATTGTCCCCCTCCTTGTGTCTAAAAATATTAAATTAATTAAAAATATATAAAAAGTTAACAGCTATTATTGTGCCAGTTAATCCTGTTGTGGCAATTGTAACTGCTTGTGCGGGGCATGAAAAAGTTGAAGCAATACTGCCTTTTGGCACTACCGTTTCAAACTATTTAAAAATTGAATTAATATTTTTTAAATTAAATTCTTTTAATTTTTTAAAGCTTCTTTCTCTACATCTTTTAACTCTTATTTTAATTAAAATCGCTCTCAACTTAAATTTTCATTGGATATTAGAGCTAGTGATTAATAATTCATAACAATTGCTTGCGCGTTTATCTTAACAAGAAAATTTCATATGATTTAAGCAATTAGCAATTATTATAACAGTAATTTTGTTAATTAATGATAATATTTTATTAAAATAGGGATAAATACTGAAATTTATTCCAAATTATAAATAACTTACCCCCAAACACTGTTGTGTATTTGCTGTAGGTGGACCGAGACTTGACGCAGTTGAATGTTTTGGCGTTTTTAAATGTGCTCTTAAAGTATCCCAATGTCCCATAGCAATAGTTAGAGCTCTTTGTGGGCGCTCAATTAAACGTTGATCAACACAGGAAGCAGATAGGAAGCGTTTTCTCTGTGAGAGTGGATGAAGTGGTGTAGAATTTAGAGGTATAGCTGCTGGGAATGGTGCACCGGTTGAACTTGTTCGATAAATTCTTAAAGTATACTTCTATTAATTTTAAAATTAAAGCAGAATTAACCGCTGTCTACGGCGTAAAGCCTCAACAGCAATATCAACACCAAGTGTTGAATATGAATGAAATGCTGGCGGTGCTGTATGTGGGGGTACTAGCTGATTTTGTTGGGGATAATATTGTTGGTATTGAAAGGGCGCCGTGTAGTGATAAGAGGAACGATTTGAAGCAAATCGTATATTTGAGGTTCTTTGACTTGAAAAATTTGTAAAAAAATCATTTCATTTTAATTTACCCTCCACTAAGTACTCGACGTAAATCAAAAGGTGATTTTGAATCTAATTCTTTTTCTATGGGAGATGAGGGAACACTTTTTAATGTTCTTATAGGATGTAAACGACTGTGCTTTGATGCAGCAACAAAACGCAATTCACGGTCCTTCATTCACTGACATAAATAATTTTTGTTGATTTGAAGCTGAGAACAAAAATTTTGTCCTGTAGCTTCTTTAAAAATTAATTATAAAAATTATTTTTATTTATTGGATTAGATTTTTTGTTAAATTCATTTATTAATCATTTAATAAAATATAACTCCTAATTAAAATACCCACTGAAGCATAACTCCCTCCGTATTCAATTTAACCTAGTGATTTATATGTAGTGATTTTATATCATTTATTAATCATTTAAATAACTCCTAATTAAAATATACTATAAAATTAATTTAAAATACTTACCTTTTTCTTGTTTTGTTTTTTAATTAAGCACAATTAAATATTTTTTAAGAATAATTTTTTCCTTCAAAATTAGTATATAAAATATATTTATTAATTTATTTATTAAATAACTACACCTTTAATACAAACAATATTTTTCTCCTTTTGATTATCCGGAAGGAGGAGACATATAAAAATATTTTTTTATTTAGTTTCCTTGGTATCACGATGGTTAGGATATTTTTGGTTTAACGTTAAAGGATTAACTTTTAGTGAGTTTACATTAAAAAGGGAAAATTTTTTTGGAGACTTGGTCATCCTTATATTATTGTTTTTCTCTAATTTTGATGAAAAAACTATTAATTAAAATTTTTTAAAAACCTTCTATTTAATCAACACTCTATAATAAACACGTTATTTAGAATTTTATACATTTAATTTAAAATTACCTTTATTTTTAATATTAGCTTTGGTTTTGCTTTTTATTAATTAAAAAAAATATAAACTTCAAAACAAACCGGTTCTATTTTCCTTACTGGAGCATTTTGTTCATGAAGCTATTTTGTTGTTTAATAATTAATTAATTTAATTTTAAATTATTTAAAAATAATTACCATTCGAAGACGAAAACTTGCATGGGCAGCTCGAAAACGTTTAATATTTTTGCCACTAGGGGTAGGTGAAGGTGATTGTTGAGGTTTAATAAGAGGCGAAGAAGGTGGGGGTTTATCTGTCGTATTTATTTGTGACATTTTCTCTTTTAATTTTAAATGAAGAATTTTAATTATTTATATTAAATATTTTTCTAAAAAATATTTAAAGGTTGGTTTAAATTGATTAATATATTTTTAAGTTCTAAAGTTTTTAAAATATAATAAAATTAAAAAAGGCATGTTTCCCACATAGTCGAGATTGGATAGAGAAAATGAGGAAGATTTTATATCGGGTTAAAAATAACAACATTAAGGAGATTTAATTTTATTTTAATAAATTTTTTAGAAAAATTAATTATTTATTCAATATTTTAATTATTTAGATGGTAATGAATTTGTTTTTTAATAAATCTCAAGTCAAGGAGTATTTACTTATTTATTTATCATAATTTTGTATAGCAAGTGACAACAGACAATTTAAATATATTTTTTATCTCTCATGTTTTCAATAAGAAAAAATTATTAAATGCCAAAAAGGAAGCATTAAAGGATTTTAATGTGTGCGCGGGGATTATATTTTTATTTGTGTGTTAAGGCTTCCAATAAATTATTGGAAAAAATAATTTTTAAGAAAAAAAGGAAAAAATTTTATATAAAAATGTACAAATTAAAAATAATATTTTTTAAAGAAATTATTTTTTTAAAAAATAGAGATCATTAAATAAATTTAAATTTAAAAATTTAAAGCTCTGTAACTTGATGTTTCCAATAAGGACTTGTAGGAGTAGTAGATGATTCGTTTGGTGATGATACTTTAATTCTTTCATTTTCTTCAAAGTAATGTTTATGTTGGTATGGAGGAGAGCTACTAGCTTAATTTAAATGAAAAATATTTTTGAGATAAAAATATGTATATTTAGTAATTTGTGTTCGTCTCCCATTCAATCTCCTCTCTTACTCAAACCAAAATCTACTTAATAGTTAGTGAGACGATAAATCTAAAAATTTTAAATAGGAAAACACCTCTTTCAATAGTTATTGAAGCTGATGGACTTTCTTCTCTTCCTTCAAAATTTTTGGAGGAAGAGGATGTCTGATATCGTCTCCTACGTCTAATAGGGGGTTGCTTGATTTTATTTTCATTTTCCTCGGTTAAATAATTTTTTGGAAGTCTTCCTTCCAAAAAATTATTTTCTCTTTTTAATCCTTTATACGGACGAGAATATTCTTCTCCTTCAATATCTTCAGTATAAATTGGACTTGTAGTTGTTGAAGCTCTTCCATAATTATTTAATTGTTCTCTTTAAATTAAAAAAAAATAATAATTTTTTCAAAATTATTTACTACCCATTTTCACACGTCTCTTTTTGTCTATAACTTTTATTCCTTCCAAAAATCATAGCAACATTTTCGCCAGATGGAGTACGTTGTCGTTGTTCTACTCTAAGGCAATCTTCTTCTTCAATAATTTGTTCTTCAGAAACCGGATATGTTTTCTTTTTTATCAAAAAAATAATTTAAAGTGGCTTTTAAAAATTACTTTAATTGGAATTTCTCTCCAATTTTCTTCTTCTCTTGAAGTTCTTTCAAATATTACATTATTATTGCTAGACATTGGAGGTAATATAGTAGTTGAGGGCTTTAAGAATAATAATGAATTATTTTGTTTATTAAATTCTTAACCGGTTGTGGACTTTGAGCTTCTGCCCAAGTTGTTGATATTCTTGGAGAGAGGGATTGTTGATTTAAATTCTTTAAAATACTTTTTATAAACCACAATAGTATTTTAACGTTAATTTTTCCTAATTAATTCCTTCTTGTTTTCGGCCAGTGCTGTACGCAACAGAAAACCCGCAATTTTAATTTTAAAATCCTCAGCCGCAATTGCGTCCAGCCCCGTTTTTAGCCCTCCACTCAAAATAAATATATTTATTCCTTATTTTGGACAAATATTTTGTTTTTAATTTTAAACAAATATTTTTTACTTTTTCTGTCACAAAATTAACTTTCCCAATTTGCAGACTACGAACATTTAATAATATATTTAAACCATATAATACAGCTAAAAGTAAAGATGATGATGCTCCACTCAAAATAAATATATTTATTGTGTGCTCTACTAAATAACCAATAAATAAAATAATTGAAAGTAAAAAACAGAGAATTGCCTTTTAAAAATAAAAATTTATTTTTAGAAATATTTAATTAAACCATAGTTATACAAATTGATAAATCAACACGCAACCACCGTCTGGATCTCTCTAAAGCTTTATTTCGAACAAAAGGGAGTGGGTGAGTATGTAAAATACGCTCGGGTGATCGAAATACAAGAAATAAACCTTTTTAAAAATTATTTTTTTAATTTTAAAGAAAAAACCATAAAGGGGAATGGCCAAAGAGGCTGCAACAAAAATCCAATATGGGCCAATATAGTATATAGAAATTGTCTAAAATTTTGTTTAAATTTTAATAAAAATAAAAAATATTTTTTATCTCCTAAATATTATCTCACCTAACGTTGTTACCAAAATATATCGAAAATTAAGATTATTTATTTTAAGTTATGTAAGAAATGGGGGGAATCTAGATAAGTACATTAGAAAGCTTTATATGGCCTTAAAATGTTAAAAAAATGTGAAAAATAAATAAATAGTTATTTACAAATTTACCTATGTTTTATGTGAAAATAATTTTCTAGGAAAATTTCTAAATGAAATATTAGATTAATTTAGAACAAACCAAAAATAAAGAAGTAATTAGTTGAGCGAATTTAACACCTATTCTTAATATTCTTGTAATAATTCCTTCTTTTAAATATTTATTGTTGGGAATCATTTAAATAAAAAAATATTTTTTTAACAAAAAAATAATAAAATAAAAATATTATTTTGCACGATTTATGCGCTTTTAGGATAAAGAGAGGATTTTCGATTAGATTTTCGATTAGATTTTCGATTATATTCAATGAGAGCGCAAATATAATTCTTTTTACATATTAAAAGAGAGAATTTTGGAGGGACGTGAAAAATAAGGGAAAATAAATAAAAATATAATACATACTACTATTTTTATTTAGAAATTATTATTTGCGTATATTTTTGGAAGCATTAAAAAGGGGTTGTTTGCAACAATGAATTAAAAAGGAAGACAAGTTTGAATGTGTGAAAAAGAAGTACAAAAACATACAAAAATATATAATTATGTAATTATTTACAGATTTTTTGTTGTTAAATTAATAAAAAAATAAAAATAAATTAAATCTGGTAAAAAAATAATTTATTGAGAAAAAACAACAAGAATAATTTACTTGAAATCTTAATTAATTATCTTATATCTGATTAGTTAGAGTTTCCAGCTTTATTTAAACTGAAAAAATTAAATTTAAAATTATTCAAAAAAATTTTTAATTTAATTAAAATTTTAATTTATTACAAAAATTTTCATAATTTGACTTGACTTTTTTGTAGGAGCCCCTCATTGATATTTAAATTTAAAATTATTTGAATAATTCACTAAATTCTTTTTTTATTTATTTTTAACTTTTATTTTCAATAATTTTCTTTAAACAACTTTTTATTTTTTTTAATGTTCCGGTTTTTTATTTTAGTAAATATATATGTATCTACAAGAAATTACAATTTATTTTTATATATTTGAAAAAATAGGTATTTACGTATTAGAAACTAATTGATGTTTTACTTCTGATCTTTTGCCGAAAATAAATTATTGCAATTAAATAAATTTTATTTTTGAAAAAATAAACATATAATTAATATATTAAGATAAATAAATAATTAATTTTTGTTTAATTTATTTATTTATAAGAACAGATACTGAATATGAAATAATTTGACAGTTTTTAAATAATTAAGCTTTGAAAAAAACAAAATGTCAAAGGCAAAATTTGAATGTCTAAAATTAAAGTTGAAATTTAGAATTTTAAAAATAAATCAAAAATTAAAGAAAAAAGTATGGAAAAATTATGATAAATTATAGAAACTAAAACTTTAATAAAAATTTAAATGAAAAATAATCTTTAAAAGAAATTTAGGTAGCTTAGAAGGAATATGTAGGCAAGAAAAAGACGAAAAAAATATTTTTATTTATTTTTATTGATAAAAAATAAAGCGAAAAGGTTAATGCCAAAATTTATTACCAAAAATAGAAAAATTAGTAAATAAATAGAGAAACTAAGAAAGTATATTAATAAATTAACTAAATATTTTCTCTAAAATAAATATTTTAAATATATTTATATATTTCTTTTTAATTTTCTCGAGGAAAAAATATTCTAGAAAAGCAAAAAGAAGAAAGAGTTAATGGCGCGCGCTCATAAGAAATCATCACGAGTGTCTACTAAACACATAATAAGGAAATATATTAATTAATTAATTGATAATTATTTAATATATTCCCCCTTCTTGATTTCCCGCTCTTTCATTTTCTCTTTCATTTTTGTTCTTAATAATCGTTTGAATGTCATCAATGTATTTAATTATTATTTTGTTATAAATTAAAAATATTTTTCGAATTATTCCTTTTATTTTATTATCAGAACTTGATCATATTGATTTTAAATATTTATTCCTTGAATTTAAAACTAGGGAGAAACCCGAGGGGGTAGAAACCCAAGTTTTTACCCTAGAAACCCGATACTAGGGTAAAAACCCCTTCGAGGTTCGGGTCGCGGTTTCTAGCGCGCCTATTTAAAAACTTAAATTTAAAATACCAAAAATTTGATACCTCTGACTGTTCCATCCACACCTCTGCATAAATTTTAAATCGAGAGGGTTTCGATCTGTGCCAAAATTCGTACTTGTATTACGTAAAAAATCAAGCAGATATGACATTTATCCAAACAAAAATAAAGGTATTTTCTCGATTAATTCCCCTCCCTCTAATAATTCCCCCTCTCGATTAATTCCCCATGCTAGAGTTGGGTTGAAACAATAATTCCCCACCCCTAAATACCCTATTGCACGTTCAAATGCCAAAACTCGAATAATTCCCCTCCCTCGATTAAATTCCCATGCCAAGGAAGGGTTGAAAAAATAATTCCCCAGGGGAATTAATCGAGAAAATACGGTATGTAAAGTTTATTTTGGATTGTTAATAGAAAGGGCTCCAGAAATTATTTTTTTAATCCACCAAAATGCAAATCCAATCAAAAATCAATAAAAAAATTTTTTTATTAAATTACTGATTTTTAATGTAATCAATCTTTTTTTTCTCGATTTTCTCTCATTTTTAACCCTTCCGTTTTTGCTTCCCATTTTTGTTTATTACAAGAAAGAGAAGAAGATTTTTAGGGAAAAGGAGAAAGAAATTAATATAAAATAATATTTTTATTTTTTTATTTTACATCTGTTTCTGAAATTAAATATTTTTTTATTTAAGAAATTAAAAAGTATCAAATTATATTTTCTTTAAAAAATTTTTTTTGATTTTTAATTTTATTATAAAAATAGATTTTTTGTTTAATTTTAAATGAAATCATTCTTTTTCTTGTCCTCAAAATAGAACAGAGACATGAAAATTAAAAATTAAAAATTGAAGAAGAAAGATAATAGGTATATTTTTATTTTGTGTTTTTACATTCCTATAATGTTCTGTCTGATTTAAAATACCTTTTAACTTTTTCTAGCATGAAATTCTTAAATATTTTTAATAAATTTAAGGTCTACTATCTTCAGATTTGTTTAAAAAATTTAGAGATTTACATATTAATTTAATGACGATAAAATATTTAAAATTATTTTATTTATAATTAATTTTACTAATTTAATTTTTAATTTTAAATAATAATTTTTACTTAATGTTGTACTCTCTCCCCTTTATACAAAAAATTTTTTTCTGCAAAAATTATTATTTTTTTGTCTAATTTAAATAACTTCTTGTTTGTCTGCTTTTTTCAAAATATTTTAAACTTTAAGTACACCCATCCATCCATCCATCTATTTTGTTAATGAAACTGTCAAATTTTAAAAAAAAATTATTTACAAAATTATATTTCCAAAATTTAATTAATTAATTTTGTTAAAAATAAATTTATTTATTTTTATTTACTTCCCCCTTTTTCTAAAATATATTTAATCAACATCAAAAACAACACATTCCAATTTTTCTTTTTCCCGTAATATTTCTTTCAATCAAAATTTGGGCATTTATTTATACCTTATTAAATGATAAGCCTTTTTTGTTTATTTTTAGTTTTTTTAAAGTTATTTACATATTTTTACTTTTTTGAACTAAAAAATTATTTTTATTTTTTTCTTCTCTTTCATTTTTATAATATTATTTACTAATATTTATTTTAATTTAGAACGAATTTCATAATTTATTAAAATAAAATTTAATGAAAAATTTAGAAATACCGTAAATGCTGAAATAATTACCCTGGGTAATTATTGTTTCAATCTCTAGCTGAAGGGGGTAATTATTAGAGAGGATGTGCTGGATTTAGTGTATATCTCATTCCAATTGAGGCGTATTGATTTATTTTTTGATATTAAGTCTTAAAATGTTCCAATAATTAAATTTGATAGTAATTCTTTAAATTTTTTAAAGTTTGAGTAAAATAACTAGGGGGTAATAACTAGAGAGAGGGTAATTATTTCAGTATTTGCGTTATCCCCAATAAAAATTTAATAATATTTATCTATTACAATATTTAACTAGGCTTGTGAGTTTTCTGAACTATTTTCCCTTTTAATATACATATATTTTCAACTAAAAACCCGATCTCTAAATATTATTTACATCCAAACATAAACAAGATTAACCAAAATATCCATTAAAAAACTTTTTTCCCTCAAAAACTATTTATTTATTTAATTTAATCTAAAAAAATATTTTTTTCTGAAAAAAATAAAAATTATTTATAATTGGCAATAATTTTCTTAAATAAATCTTTTTTTGTTTTTATATTACCCTTATCTATTTATTTTATTTTTAAAATTTTTTTTTTGAATTTTTAAATAAAATTTTAGCTAATTTTGTTAAATATTATTTTGACAATAACAACAAAAAAATATTTTTTTATATATTTTCTCCCTCTCATGAAACAACCACTTTCATTATTTTCTTCAGAGGCATCAACTTCAAATACAGAATCTAGTAATATTTTTTTTAAGTTTTTTAAAATGAAAAAATATTTCTTCTATAAATTAAATAATGAAATAACAAAAAAATAGTTTAAATAGTTTAAGTATTTTGTTAACCCTTGCTTGCTTAATTATCAATTAAAAGCTATCATCTATGAAATTAATTACATAAGGAATGTTTCCTCATTTAAAAAAAAATTTTTTTATTAATTAAAATTATCAATAGCCTCCTCCTCCCCAACAACATTCCTCAACAAAATGTCAAACACTTCATTACCCCAATTAATTACTTCAACAACTCTAAATGTGATTCAAGAATTAACAAAAAATGTTAATAATGATAATGATGAACAATTTAAACATCATTTACATCCACCTGTAGAGTTCCCTTCTTCAATTGAGATTGAGGAAAAGGAAATTCTTTTACAAAATTGTTTTGAATCTGACCGTTTTGTGCAGTTTCAATATACGGTGAGTTGGTTTTTTTGGAGTTTTTTGGGGTTTTATATGATCTACCTTCTCTCGAATATTACCTTTAATTTGTGAATATTGTCTTTAAAAAAGACTGTTCTTAGCCTATAAAGTTATGACGAGTCAAGACTTACATATAAGCCTTTTGTTTTTACTATACCAACACTCCTTTATTAATTACTTTAAAATTCAAAAATAATAATAATTCTCTGCACAATAAACAAAAAAACTGTAAATAAACAAATTTATATTAAATATAATAAATTCCATTTAATAACAATTTTTTCTTAAAAATATTTCATCACGAAATAAAAAATAATAATAATTAATTTTATTGCCATAAATAAATTATTTATTTTGCAATTATATTTTGAAAGAGAGAAAAGAATTTTTTGTTTTTTAAAATAAAAATATAAGAGGAATTCATAGATTGATGAATTTTATTTAAAAAATTACTGATAAACCTGTAAAACTAAGATCTAACAAAATAATTATTTTAATTAATTACATTAAAAATTAATTCTATAAATTTTAAAAAATCTTTTTGTTCTTTAAACTTTCAGAATTTTTTTGTTATTTTTTTTGTTAAATATCGGGAACATTTAAATGGACAAAAAATATAATGATCATACTAAAAAGATATTCTTTGAATTCTGAAATGAATTACATATTTTGCCTATATTTAAATATATATACCTTAAAACCTATATTAATTACCCTCCCTTGATTAATTACTCCCTCTAGCAGAAGTCGAAACAATAATTACGTAGTTAATAAAATTTCACGGTAAATAACAACCAGGGATTCAGCTGACAAAAAATTCAATTGTTATTTTTGCGAATTTAGAATCAGGATTTTTTAAAATTTCTTCATTTTTACGCCCAAAAGTTAAAAAAATATTTTTTCCTAAATAGGAAATAATATTTTGTAGTCCTCTCTGATTTAAGGTTTCTCTCAAAACAAAAATTTTTCTTAAAATTATATTTTTTACAATTTCCTATAATTTTTTTTCAATTTCCTGGCGTTAATTTAAAAGATTAATTTTTAATTTTTCTCAAAAAAATTTTCTTAAAAAAGACCAAAAATTGGCTGGCGGAAGCAATTTAATGAAAATTGGTCCTTTATCTTTTAAATTAAGATTGAAAGAAATAAAGAGGAGGGCAAGGGAGGGATGAAGATTTTTTTATTTTTAATTATTTTTTTTGGTATAACTATCTATTTAAAATAATTATTTAAAAAATCCAAATATTTTATTCAATTTTGTATTTTCAAATAAATTAAAATGAAAATTCAAAATTGTACTTTACAACATGAATGGATGGCTTTGGTAAAAACTTTTTTTTGAATTTTATTGGAATTTTTAATTTTGCACCCAAAATATCCCCTGAAAAAACTTTAAAAAAATTTTGTTTTCAAATAAAAAATTTTTAGATGGACGATCTTCTTTTGGCTGCATCAACAGGATCTACTTTATTTAATTTATTAGTGATATTTTGTGCTTTCCGTTTATTTAAAAGAAGTGGGGATACAATGCATGTATTCATTATTAGTTTGTTTTTTTTTGTTGAAATTTAAATTAATTAATAATTATTTTTAGATATGACTTTTGGAGATCTTTTATTAACTGGTTAGGAGAGAGTTTTTTCTTTTAAAAATATTTAAAATATTTTTTTAAAGTTTTTTGTCATCCAAATGAATTTTTAATAAGAAAACATGCATTTCTTCGGCATGTTCACCTTTGTGCCATAATACACGTAATTAATTTATTATTAAAAAATTTTTTCTTAAAGAATATTGAAACAATTTTTTAATTAAATCGAAATTTAAAATAATTATTAATGTTTATTGCTTTTGACCTAATAAATTAATTTTATGCTTTTTAATCTCTAAAATAAATAAAATAAATTTAATTATAATAATTATTTTTAATTATATTTATGGGCTCTGCTAATTTTTTTCAAGAAAATTAATTTTTAAATTTAATTTTTCTATAATTTACTTATTATTTTAAGTATTGTAACTGGTTAGGGCTAGCAGTTTCTGGATTATCACTAACATTATTAAATGTCGATAAATTAATTTACTTTCGATGGCCACTTTCCTACGAACGTGCAATGTCTAAAAGGAGGGCTGTTTGTTTGTGTGTCGGTGTTTGGGGGGTTTCTTTAGGTTTTGTTTCCTATGTTTGGTTGGAAAATATTGTTTTTGTTACAACTGATTGTATGCTACAAGTATTTTTCGATTTTTAATTTAATTTTAAAAAGAAATTTTTTCTAGATGGCTGATAATTCCAAATATTTTTATGAAATATTTATGTTTGTTTTTTGTGTTTTTAAAAATTAAAAATAAAATTTATTTTTAAAGGATTTTATTTTGTGTTTTACCTGTCAGTTCTTCTTTAGTTGTTAGTACTTATTTATTTAGACTAACAAGACAAAAATTAAATTCACCTATTGGCCCAACAAGTCAAGCTGCTAATGTTGATATGCCTACTTTTAAAAGCAAAGTAATTAAAAGAGAGAGAATGAATTTTTAATGTTAAAAAATAAAAATATATATCCCTAATTCAGAATTATTCTACTTTTCCATTAAATATATTCCTTATTATAAGAACATCCATTCATTATCAACTATTTCTAAAAATTTACTTTTCTTTTAGTTAAAATCCCTCGTATTTATTTTTGCAACAACAGCTTGGACTTCATTCTCTTTATTGCCATATAGAATATTTAATATTTGTAGAATTCACTTATTTGATTGGCCAAATATTGGGTGTGAACAAAGGGTTATTATGAATTGGATTGCTTGGATATTGCTATATTTATTGACTTTAAATCCTGTAAATTCTTAAATTTTATTTTAATTTAAAAGGGAGATTTTGAATATTTTTTATAATAATTCTAAATTTATTAATTAAATTTTCAAAAAATTAACCTTTAAAAAATATTTAGAAAAATATGCTTTTCCAAATTTCAAATTTAAAAATAATTATGTATTTTAATCAATTTAGATAGTAAATCCATTAATTACAACACTTATTTATGCTCCCTATCGTTTACATTTAAAGAGATTATTGTTACACATTCCACGTGGTAATAGACTTCAATATAGTGCTTATACAAGGGATGCTAATACAGAAAATAGGTAAATACTATTTAAAAAATAATTTTTTTAGTTAGATAAATATTAGTTTTATTTATAAATATTTTCAGAATATCTACTTTTCTAAATTAAGATAGATACCGTATTTGCTCTAGTAATCCCCCAGGGGGATTAGTGTTTCAACCCATCTCCAGGGTGGGGGATTAATAGAGCCTGGGGGATTAATAAAGGACTGGGGGATTAATAGAGCAAATACGGTATATGTATTTGCCTTAAATTGTATTTAAATTTCATAAATCTAAAATCTTATTTTTATATCGAATTAGCACCTAATATACTATAATATTTTTCTATAATTTTATTTTAATTTTAAAGTCAAATAACTGTTCGACGTGGACGTCGCCGTCGTGGTGTTTCTAATACCGGTGGAACAGTTGATAATCAACGCTTATTACTTTCTTCAAATAAAAATATTAATGATGATATTAAAACAACAAACAGACAAACAAACAATACAATAACTAGTAGTTGTTGTGGGGATTCCTCAACAACAACATCAACATCTTCTAGACATTTACCTCCATCTATACCTCTAGTTAATATTGATGGAAATTCTTCTATTAAAAGGTTAAGGAATTTTTTGAAAACTTTATTGGGAAGTTGAAGATCGAAAACTGTAGGGAAGTAAGTAGCAAGAGTTCCTCACCCCTACCCCTCCCTTCACCTATTACAAGTATATTTACAAAATAAAATTTACACCGTCATTTACCCAACAACTTATCAAAAATAATTTTAAAAAATTTAATTTTAGAGAATTTTCATCTTCAGCAGATGCCCCTTTATCAGCAAAATCTTCCTGTGCAAATTCTAGTACAAATTCTTCGTCTGCAAAATCGGCAATGTTAAATGGAACTGCTACAATTTCACCAAAATTTGTTTTTGTTGACGAAGAAGAAAATGATAATAATAATGATTAAAAAAGAAGAAAGATATTATAATTAATTAAATTTAAAAATAAAATAATTGTTTATAAAAAAATAAAGGATGATCTCGAATAGCGGTGAGAAATATGGTAAATTTTAATCAAGGGAGGAATTTAGCAAGATGAGAAAAGAAAAAATTTTAAAAATATTTAATTTACAATTTTTACCTGTATATTTCTTTTAAATTTGGCAGATATAAATACATATACCTACATATTTAGTAGAGGTGGGTCGGAACAGTCAGAGGTGTCGGAAATCGGAACTGTCGGAAATCGGAAACCAAATTTTTTTCGGAAATCGAAAGGAAAAAAACGTCGGAAATCGGAATTCCGACCCACCTCTGCTATTTAGTATGTATGTAAAATTACATTTTTAAATATTTTGTTTAATAATCAATTGAAGATTTTTTTCGTTTATTTAGTAAAATTTATGTTTTGTTTTAAAAAAATAATTAAATTTAAAAAAAAGTAATTAAAAATCTTTTAATATTAGAAAATTAAAAATATCAAATATAAATTTTTATTTTTCCAATAAACACTGTAAATTAATTAATAAATTGAAAATTATGTCAATTAAGCGGATTTGATATTTATACCTGACAGTATTTAGACAATCTAAGTGTTGTTTCGTTGGGATTTTTTGTGGGTCTTACGGACTATCAATTAATTCTTACATTGTAAATCTCTTCTTTTTTTGTTGGCAACGAATCAAAAAAATTAAAAGAAAGCCAAAAAAAATTTTCTCCATTTATAAATTGGCATTTTGTCAAATTTATTAATAAAAAAAGAAAATTCTACTTAATATATAAAACTATATTTATTAATTTACTTAAATTTCATTATCTTCTGGCAACTATGAGTTTTTAGAATAAAATATAAAATTAAGCATAATTTTTGGATCGGGGGGTTTTCGCGAGGCCCCCTTAATTATTCAGTTTTGATGTGACAGATTAATTTTGATTCAAACTAGGGATGGCGATTCCTGGGAAATTCCCGGATATCCGGAACCGATATCCGAACCGAGGATTTCGGATATCCGGAACAGGAACCGAAATTTTTATTTTAAAAATTTTCGCCTGTGGCGCTAAAAAGTTGAGTATCGAGGGAATTTAGGATTAACAGAGCATCTAGGTCAATAAATGCGTGGATCAAAGAATTTATCCGAAATTCAAAGAATTTTGAAGTGTTAATCCGGGTGGAAAATCAATGGAATATATTATTTCAGAGGATTTGTATGGATTAAGGAGATATCAAGTGATACAAAGGATTGAGAGGGATAACTGGGAGATTTAGTAAATTATGAGGGATGTCGGGGGATAGAAGATTATAGGGATTAAGGAGGATGTCGAGTTATAAGGGGAATTTGGGTGGATTAAAAGGGATCAACAGGAATATTAGCGATTTGGGGGACTTGGGTGATTGAGTAATTGTGATTAAGTGGTGTGAGTGACTTCCTTCTCCAACGCCCAGGCGAAAATTTTGAAAATTTTGGAAGACTAGGCTACTAGATTTCTTCCTTTTCCAGTGATGAAACTAGACTTTGACAAGTTATTGTTTATCTCGTTATCCAGAAAAAATTCAGATTTAAGACATAATGGGATTAATTTTCAGGTCATAAAAATCACTCAACTGCCCCTCCTCCCACCAAAAAAAGTCACAAAAATGTAACATATACACTAAACTCATTAGATCTCAAACGCTCATTCTTTTGGATAATGAGATTATCCATTAATATTGATACATACAGATAACTTTCAGTTTTGTGCTTCGAACAAAGAACTTGGATATGTAACAAAATATTTTAATTAAAAAATTATTTAAATAAAAATTTTGAAAATTTTTAGTTTATATATTTTGCTTATAACAAAATTGGCCGTCAGGCAAAATTCAGTAGCATTTCTATCAATTAATTCTTACATTGTAAATCTTTTCTTTTTTTTTGTCGGCAACAATTCAAAAAAAAGAAATTAAAAGAAAGACAAAAAATATTTGGACAATAATTTGTTACAAACAAAAATATTTGGGGCGCCTTGAGGGACTTTATAAATATTCTTTTGCGGCAAATATTTATTGTTATAGCTAATAAATTTGTTTTTTAGAGATTAATTTAGATTATAATTAAATATTATTAAAGTTTATTGACTTTTTTGATTGTTTAACTAAATATTGAAGTATTTACAGATAAATAATTAACTATTCTCCACTTTATTTCATCCACAATATTTTGGTAAAATTTGAGTAGATCATGGACCTTCAAACTCTAGAAAAATTATTTAAATATTAAGGTTGGATAAAAAAAGTATCAGGGATTATTTTTGATAATTTATAATTAAAAATTGATTTTTTAGAATTTCAATTTTCAGTCAACATTTATTTGTAGGATTATCAAAATGGTCCGACTCGGACCGAAAGATCGAATCAGACCTAAGATATGTTTATGGTCCAAAAGTGACTTAAACCGGACCGACCTCGACGGCAACCCTATTTATTTGTAATTAAATTATTGAGTAACTAAAATAAAAACGTTTGATATTTTAAAGTATTTTCCAAATAAATTTGGAAAAAAATACAATTTAATTTTCACATCAAAACTTAAATTTATTTCGATATTTTACCGCATCTCAAAACTTTTCTCATTTTCTTTAAATTTTTATTCATTCGAGGATTATCCATGAGAGAACGGAGAGAATTATTTACCTATTTATTAAATCTTTTATTCTTCTTATTTAAAAATCTTTTCATAAAGTTTCTGATTTAATCCAATCAGCACGCTTAATTGAATAAAATATATATAATCCTATTAGTATTTTTTATTTATTTATTCCCCCGAGGCATAATTTGAAATTAAAATTATTTTCTGTTATACTTCTAACGTTCCTCGTCCCTAAATATGGATATACTCTTACTAGAGCTGTTTCAAAACAAAAAATTTTCAAAAATCGCAAATCAAAATTTATAAACAGCTCCTCGGTTATAAAGATACTAAACATTAATTTTATTTAATATTTTTTTTGTTTTTCAAAAATTTAAAAGAAAAACATTTTCTTTATTATTTTTAACAAAAACTAATAGAAGGATAAAAAGATTATCTAAAAAGATTTTCTTTTTATTCAAAAATAATTCCCCTCTTCTTGCTTTTAGAGAACGTTCAAATAAATGTTTTTAGTTACTTGGATCAGTTAGAAAGAGGGGATAATCGCTTAATTATGTGCTGTCAACACTTTGAAGGACACAAAGCGGTAAAAATTACGAAAATATTAAAAATAAGATTGAATTGTTATTAAATAGTTATTTTAATGGAGAATTGAATTTTGAATTAAATTAAATAAATTATTAAATTTAAAAAAATTTTATAGATTTTGGAATAAAAATTAAATATTTCAACAAAAAAATATCTGACAATATTAAAGAAAGAGTTTAACAAAAGTTTAGCCACCGGACAGGATGAGAACATGCAACTCTACCACTGACTACAGGGGCTCGACTAATGCCTACTCTTTTATCCATTTAGATCATTTAAACCTCGTCTAGGTGTTTTAAATGCTCTGATCATCACATTAACAGTTCTTGTGATTATTATAAATATTTTTTTAATTATATTTTAAAAATTATTAGAATAAATTTTCTTTAATTTAACTTTTTAAATCGACTTTATAAAATTCTTTTTTTATTTAAATATAAAAAGTAATATTCTAAATAAAATTATTATATATTTGATATAAAAATCGCAACATATATAAATTATTTTGAGAGAAAGAAAGATGATTCGCGCACAAATACCTCAAAAAAGGTTTTTGTCATTTATCTAAAATTCTCACATATAAGAAAAATTTACGCGAGAATATAAGGGTAAGTTGCGGGAAAGTGAAACATGAAGAAGATGTGTGAATTATAGGTTTTATTTATTTAAGAGAGATTTTGTTTTTAGATTATTTTTTGGTTTTTGGATTGGTATTTTAGTATTTTATTTAATTAAATTTTTGTGAAGGGGTTTTTCTTTAAAATAATTATTTTGGAAAAACTTTTTAGAGTTGAGTACGTGAATCTATTGAACGAGTTCACTCGGAAAAATTTTCAAAAAAAATGTTCTAAAGTCAGAACAATTCCTTAAAATATTTCTTTAAAATAACTTAATTTAAGCTTTAATCTAGTTATATTGACAGATAAAGACTTGAAGTATGTATTCGATGGTTACTCCTAGAAATTATTTTTAAATAAAAATTTATTTCAAAAAAATATTTAAATATTTTTGTTATTGGTTAAAATGAAAGGCGGAGCTTTTAACGAAAAATAAATTTAAAAGAAAAAGGCGTTTCTCTATTCTCTTCTCTCTTTTTAAAGAAATATTTACGTAAAAATCTCTTAAATATTTTATATACTGTATTTCTTTTTCTTCTCCTTCACACACTTTTATTCAAAACTTGTTAGCCGTATATTTTTTTAATAATAAAAATTATCTTTTTTTAGTAAAAATTAAATGAATAATCCTTCCCAAAATCACCCTTTTGCCTCTACAGGACAATTACTTTCTTTCCCTCCCGAATGTGCGGCACCCCCTCCTATGGCATCAGCTTATCCCCAATATACACCGGTTGTTCATCTTCATGGCCATTTTTATATTCCGGCGCCAACAACCAACAATAATAATTTAAATAATAATACAATACAGCAACAACACAATTTTATTGTAAATTTTTTTAATTTATTGGAAGTTTTGTAGGAATACTCATTTTAAAATTTTTAATTTTTATTCAAAATTGATGATAAAATTTTTTTTAAATTTTTTATATACCTAAATTTTACTTTAAAGTTCTTAAAAAACTTTTCTTCCCCTCACAATTCTTTCTATATTATTTTTTTAGTCTGGCATTCCCTCCCAACTTCCCCCTCCTCCCTCACATCCTCACCATCATCATCAACAACTTCATCATCATCATCCCCATTTTTTTCTTGAACAATCCCATCATCACCAACATCCTTCCTCCTCCTCTTCTA